ACATGGAGCCAAGTTACATGGAGCCAAGTTACATAGAGCCAAGTTACATAGAGCCAAGTTACATAGAGCCAAGTTACATAGAGCCAAGTTACATAGAGCCAAGTTACATAGAGCCAAGTTACATAGAGCCAAGTTACATAGAGCCAAGTTACATAGAGCCAAGTTACATATAGCCAAGTTACATAGAGCCAAGTTACATAGAGCCAAGTTACATAGAGCCAAGTTACATAGAGCCAAGTTACATAGAGCCAAGTTACATAGAGCCAAGTTACATAGAGCCAAGGTTAGGTAGAGCTTAGAGCTTCGGCGTTAGCAGCTATGTAAGTTAGTTTAGGTTTCTAAGGCGCCGGGGCGGGAGTTTGATCGTCGCTCGGGATTGCGACCCTCTGCGGAGATTCGCGTGGTCGAGGTTCAAAAACTGAGGACTTTTTACGATTTCTGCTGGCGCGCGCGACCCTCTGCGGAGATTCGCGTGGTCGAGGTTCAAAAACTGAGGACTTTTTACGATTTTTAGCATGCGCGCGCGACCCTCTGCGGAGATTCGCGTGGTCGAGGTCAAAAAACTGAGGACTTTTTACGATTTTTAGCATGCGCGCGCGACCCTGCGGAGATTCGCGTGGTCGAGGTTCAAAAACTGAGGACTTTTTACGATTTCTGCTGGCCGCGCGCGACCCTCTGCGGAGATTCGCGTGGTCGAGGTTCAAAAACTGAGGACTTTTTACGATTTCTGCTGGCCGCGCGCGACCTTCTGCGCAGATCGCGCGCGTCGAAGCGCTCTCGCTGTGGCGCCGTGAGAATTTGTCTTAGTTTCGGCGAACCCTCTGCAGAGATTGTGCGTGTCGAAGCGCTCTCGCTGTGGCGCCGTGCAATAGTCTTGCTCGCGAAACGGCCTTTGGAAGTTGTCTCGTGGTTTGCGCGCCTGCTTTCGCAATCCCGCGGTTGCGGGTTCGATTCCCCCCTGGTCCGCGGCAGCTCCGGCTTGAAAATCGCAGCTTTTAAGTACAAACGTAGTACGCGGAGCGTGCTCCTGCAGCTCCGGCTGGAAAATCGTAACTTTTAAGTACAGACGTAGTGTGCGGAGCGTGCTCCCGCAGCTCAGGCTGGAAAATCGCAACTTTTAAGTACAAACGTAGTACGCGGAGCACACCCCCGCAGCTCCGGCTTGAAAATCGCAACTTTTAAGTACAAACGTAGTACGCGGAGCGTGCTCCTGCAGCTCCGGGTGGAAAATCGCAATTTTTAAGTACAGACGTAGTATGCGGAGCGTGCTCCCGCAGCTCAGGCTGGAAAATCGCAACTTTTAAGTACAAACGTAGTACGCGGAGCACACCCCCGCAGCTCCGGCAGCACTTGCGCAGAGCAACTTGCGCAGAGTCACTTGCGCAGAGCAACTTGCGCAGAGCAACTTGCACAGAGCAATTGCACAAAGCACTTGCGCAGAGCAACTTGCACAGACCAACTTGCACAGAGCACATGCGCAAAGCGCTTGCACGGAGCAACTGGCGCAGAGCCCTTGCGCAGAGCAACTTGCTCAGAGCACTTGCGCAGAGCAACTTGCACAGAGCAGGCGCAGAGCAACTTGCACAGACCAACTTGCGCAGAGCACATGCGCAAAGCGCTTGCGCGGAGCAACTGGCGCAGAGCACTTGCGCAGAGCAACTTGCTCAGAGCACTTGCGCAGAGCAACTTGCACAGAGCACTTGCGCGCAGCAGCTTGCAGAGAGCAACTTGCGCGCAGCAGCCTGGAACAATGCAGCTTGCGCAGACCACTTTCGTGAGAAATCGCGCGGCGCAGTTCGAGAGGAAAGTAGGAGGATGAGATGGAGCTCTCATGTGACCATACACACTGAGCATTGCCGCGCGCAGACACGCTCGCCGCGGCGATGTAAAAAGGTGTCTCCGCGGCTGGATGAGCACCTGTGGAAAAATGCTTTCGGGCCAATCGTCCTCTAGTGGTTGTGTTTGTTGTTGTTTGCTTGTTTGTTGTTTGTTGTCGTTTCAGTTTGTTTTGTTTGTTTGTTTGTTTGTTTGTTTGTTTGTTTGTTTGTGTGCCTGTCTTTGCTTTGTTGATTTACTTTATATTTGTTTTTTGATTTATTGGTTGATTGATTGATTGATTGATTGGTTGGTTGGTTTGACTTGTTTGAATTTGATTTGATTGATTTGATTGATTTGATTGATTTGATTGATTTGATTAATTGGGTTCATTTGATTTGATTGAGCTGATTGATTGATTGATTGATTGATTGATTGATTCATTGATTGATTGGTTGGTTGGTTGGTTGATTGATTGATGGATTGATCGAGTGATCGATTGATTGAGTGATTGATTGATTGATTTGATTGATTGGTTGATTGATTGATTGATTGGTTGATTGATGGATGGATTGAGTGATTGATTGATTGATTGACTGATTGTTTGATTTGATTGATTGATTGATTGACTGATTTAAACTGATTTGATTTGATTTGATGTGACTTGATTGGTTGGTTGATTGACTGATTAATTGACTAATTGATTGATTGTTTGACTTTGGTTGGTTTGAAGTAATTGATTTTGTTTTCAAGTGATTTTGGGTTGAAGTGAGTTTGACTTGATTTGACTCGGCCTGACTTGATTTGTTTGTTTGTTTGCTGTTGCTCTGTAGGATTGTGACCGTCATCAGAGGAATTGGTAGCAACTTAGGAATTGGCTGGCTTTGGCTTCGGTCGTAAAATGGTGGGTTGTTCATGTTCAATCATTGGTAGCTTGCTGGATCTGCATTGGCTTCACCTAGCAACATTGACGGTTTTCACTCGATTTAGCTCCAAGGCCGCTGGACCACCAGGATTTGAGGCACCCGATTTTTTTTGATGGAATTGAGTTGGGTACAAATTGAGTCTTGATATTTCGCCTTACGCAGGGAAGGAAGGCGCGAGGTTTCGGAAGTTCCGGCATAGTCGCTAGGGGCAGCCTGGAAGTCCTGGACGCAGCAGGGGCGGGCCAAAGATTCCCTCAGCTTCAGCTGGCGGAGGAGGAGAAGCTGCTCTTCATGCCGGAAGGCCTGGGCTTCTTTCGCTGCGAAGCGAGTCTCGTTGGTGGACATGGGTCTGGCATGTGTTTTGTTTTTTGTGTTTTTTTTCAGTTGGCGTTTTTTGTTGGTTTGAAGAGAAGCCAAGAGGAAACCACCATTCTGGAGGGGTCCCAGAAAGAAGACCAAAACACATAACTGTCCACCAAACCCGTTTCTCGTTTTTAACATCTCTGATTGCCACTGATAGATAGGGTTCCTCACGGTGGGATGATGTTTCAGCGGGGAATGTGCGAGCCCTTTTCACCCTCGCTGTTTTCCCTCTTCAATTAAAATTGACGATTGGCGGGTGTTCGAAGACTACTTTCCTTTTAAACAGGCATGTGTACTTCGGAAAGAGGGTAGCTGGCAGTCGGTTTCTTAGCCACAATCGAAACCTGGGATGAAGGGCAAGGGTCCTCACCAGAAACAGGCGCGGATGCCCTCTAAATTCTTTGCATGGCTTTGGGTAGACCACCTTACCAGGTTTTGACTTGTTCCCGCTACATCGACTTATTGTGTTTACAATGAGCAGCAATGGACAAACGCGGATGCTTGTCCTTTTGACGTGCCCTGTTTTTTGCTTCATCATATCTTGCATTGTCGTTCTTCAGTTTGAGGATGACTCTTGAGCTTGAGCCTTCAAGCGCAGGCTACACAATGGTCGTGCCGACAGCTCTCCATTGCTTGCATTGGGCTGCCGCTCGGAGCGGCGTTGAGTACGAGGAGGACGCCGTGGTCAGCATCGACCGGCGTAGCAAAACCGTCACGACCCGCGATGGCCGAGAGATTCGCTACCACAAGCTGGTGATCACAGCTGGCCCATGGACCAACAAAGTCCCCTGCCTTTGAGGCAGACCTTGTCACCTTTGCAGACCCGAGCACTTGGGTCTGTGCTTTTCAATGGTACCATTGTCAGCCTTGGTATACATGGAAGCCAAAAGGAACACCACCATCTTGGGGATCCACATGTCCACTTGCAACATGATCTCTGACCTGTTGCTTGATCATTAGCCACACGGCTCTGCGGTGGTTTGTGATCGACCAGGCTTGTACTGCAAAATGCGGGACCCTTTTGTCACCCTTTTTTTTGGGGGGGGGGAGGGGGGGGGAACCGGAAATGGGGGGTGGCAGGGAACAACGCGTAGAATGTGAACCGGCTCCTTTTTCAGCACTTGCGACTTGATCTGCACGAAAAAAGAGATAGCAGCGTCGCACAGATTTGCACGGTCAGGTCAACCCAGAAACTAATTCCAACTCAACGTGTTTTACAATCTATTGTAGGGTATCTCACGTTTAATTGTATTTTTCAGCTCTTGGTGTTTCTCTTTCCTTGCGATTATTGATGTCATGGACTTCAGAAGCCTTATCAATGGAGCAAAATAGAGACATGACAGCGATTAATAGGTGATACAGAAATGACCAACCGATTGGACTGTAGATTTTAGCCTTCCACTGTCTGAGATTACAATAATCCACTTATAATTGGGTCTAAAGAGTCTATAGACAGGAAATGCCTACCAATAAGATCTCAAGGAAGGGTGGGCTAAGGAATCTCCATTGCTTATTTCTCCCCCCTTCTCGTTTCCCTTTATCACCCCGACTCTTTTTCTCGGAAGCAAGGTTGGGTGATGGGAGGTAGAGAGAGGAGAGAAGGGCGACAGAGAGAAACAACTCACTGGTTGGCCATCTCATCCCCTCACCTCATTTTCATTGGCTGGGAGATGGATGAGGATGGTTTCAGATTGAAAGTGAAGATATGCCGAAAAAAAAGCGAGAGGGGAGGATGACTATCTGGATACATTCTGCAGTATAGTTGGCCAACGGCAACGCACCTATTTCAAGCCTCTATCTTACCATCCTATCTTACCACCCTTTCTCCCCTTCATTTCTGGAGGTGGGGGCGGGGAAAGAGATGAGAGAGTAGGGAAGGAGATGGACGTCCATCCAACCATCTCGTTTGAATGTCTCTCTTTCCCAACCTGTTGCCAAACGGAGGAGGTCAAGAGAGGGAAGTGAATGAAAGCTAGACGAGCTGGAATGTTCTTATTGTCCCAGCTTTTGGTCCAACCGTTCACTCTCTATCTCTTCCCCAATCATCTTTACCTGTCATTCCCATTCTCTTTTCGTAGCTTTGGGAGAGACATGAGAGGAAAATATAATGGAGAAAGGGAATGCAAGAGATGGAAAGCATCTCTGTTTTATATCTTTAGAATATGGAAACACTTTTATGATAGTAACATCTCTTTCCCCGTCTCTGCCTTGCTTGTCCTGACTCTTCGCTCACTTCTTCACTCATCACCACCAGCAAGCGAAAGAGAAGGAGATTGGGAAGGTGGGTTAAGGAGAGAGTGGGTGGGAAGGGTGGGTGTGTATTTGTTGTATCACGCTTTTTCTCTCATCCTACCTCCTCTCTCATCCACATCCAAGATTTAGAAGATAGAGATGATGGGAGATAGGAATGAGAGGTAAAGAGAAGAGATAATGTGAGGGTGATGATGGCCTTCCCTTTCATTAGCCCCTTTCAAAGCCTTTATCCATTGGGAAGGTGGGTGAGGGAAGAGAGGGGGTGGGAAGGGTGAGTGTGGCTCACCTTATCATCCCTCTGACCCTATCTCCTCCCTCATCCACATCCAAGATTTAGCCTTCTCTTTCATTAGCCATCACATGACCGCCCTCCATCTCTCTCTCGCTCTCTCCGGTCGTTTACCTGGCATGCGGTACAAGTAGTGGAGAGAGACATTGCTTGCCAGCTCCAGCTCTGACAGACAGGGTAATGATGGAGGAGCTGGTCATCTCCCTCTCACGCGCCTTCCCTTGCCATCTCTTAATTCTGGAGTGGCGAGGATTCTATGCAAGAGAAAGGAATGCAGTTCCTTCTCCTTCTCTATCACCAACATCTCCTTCCCCTTAATCATGTCACAGAATCCAGAATGTTTTTCATGCCATTCTTCATTCTACTCCTCTCTCCTATCTCTTCATCCCTTCTTCTTTCCTAGCCGTTGCAACGGTGAGACTGGAAAGGAGAAAGGAAATAGATGACGAGAGAGATAAAGTGATTAGGTGAGAGGCAACCAGAGGAAATCCCATCCGCTGGCCAGTTCTTTCCATCGTTTTCTAATGAATTCCTCTTCCTTCACCTCAATTCAGTTTTTTCCCAACCTCTTGCCCAGTTTTAAGCTACTTTGGGAGACGGAGGAGGTCAAGAGAGGGAAGTGAATGAAAGCTAGACGAGCTGGAATGTTCTTATTGTCCCAGCTTTTGGTCCAACCGTTCACTCTCTATCTCTTCCCCAATCATCTTTACCTGTCATTCCCATTCTCTTTTCGTAGCTTTGGGAGCGACATGAGAGGAAAATAGAATGGAGAAAGGGAATGCAAGAGATGGAAAGCATCTCTGTTTTAAATCTTTAGAATACTAAAAATTCTAAATTTTTGGGGTCCGATTTTTAGATTTTTTTGAGTTTGTAGAATTGTACTTTAAATTTCTATAAATGTTAAGTTTTGGGGGTCCGATTTTTGGATTTTTTTGAATTTTTAGAACTCAATTCTAAAAAATCTAAAAATCAAGGGTCCTGGCTGGGCCCCTCCTGGGCTAGGACCATCTAGAATTCTAAAGTTCTAAAAATTCTAAATTTGGGAGGCTCATTTTTAAGAGTTTTTAGAATTTTACAATTGAATTCTAAAAGTTCCAAAAATTCCGATTTTTGGGGGTCCGAATTTTAGCTTGTTTACATTTTTACAACTCAATTCTGACAATTCTAAAAGTTCTAAAAATTATAAAAATCAAATGTCCTGGCAGGGCCCCTCCTGGGCTGGGACCACCTAGAATTCTAGAAAACTATATTTCGGGGGTCCGATTTTAGAATGTGTAGAAATCATAGATTTTGAGAATCAAGCTTTATAAACCTAACAATTCTAAAAGTCAAGGTTCCTGGCTGGGCCTTTCCTGGGCTGGGACCATCTAGAATATTAAAAATTCTACGAACTAAGACTTGGTTATCAAAAGGCAAATGCCCTGTTCACATTATACATAAAGTTTCCTCGTACGGGGGGGGGGGGAGGGACAGGGGGCAAGTTTTCCCAAACGGTGAGGTGCTGCAGTCTGCCCAGCTTGACGGTCTGCCCATGATTGTGTCCAATGAGCAGACGGTGGAGTTCCTCGCCAAGGAGGGCTGAAGTTCATGGACCTCACCGAGCGTTTCGATTTAGAATCGATTCCAACCATTATGAACAAGCTTCCCACCACTTCCCACCACTTGGTGGTTTGACTGGTGGTTTGATTGGTGGCTTGGATTCACCATTTGGTGGTTTGATTGGTTGGGATTTGGACTTGAACCCCAAGTTCTTGTAGAGGGCTACCCTTCATGCTTAACCAAATTCTTTTTTGGTGTTTTTTTGGTTAATACATATGGCTGTGGCTCAAAATTAAACAGGAGGGGTTACGCGGGTTTTGGTCCATGTTTCCACTTGCCAAGATTCAATTTTGGAACCGGTTTTTTGAGCCACAGCCATATATATATATAGAGATATATAATGATAATTGACCCGGAAGGATGGCGCGCCCAACCACGACTGGAAAGAGTTTCCACTGTTCACCTGGAGCGAAGCTGGGTACAAGGGCCGAGCAGAGGACGGCGGGTGTCGCTACTTCTACACCACGCGTCTCAGCGTTATGCCGGAAGCATTTTCAAGCATTTTCTTGTTTGTTTCGCAGACTTGTAGGTTTTGGAGCTCTCCGATCTGTCACTGTTTGTTTGCTCCAATCACCTGTCGTCAGGTGACCCTTGATTGGTGGATTTGGGAATGGGTGGTTTGGGATTTGAACCCCTTGCTCCTGTAGAAAAAAAAACGCAAATCTCCAAACTAGCAATCCAAACCACCAATTAGAGTACCCGCCTGTCCATTAACGCGCAACCTGACAAAAGGAAAACGGTCTTCCAGGCGCCCCCTGTCAGGCCCTGTGAATTGGTGGGAGGGTACATATATATATACATGTATACGAGGGCCGTCCTAACGCCCCAGTCTTCGGTTTTAATTATCGCCGAACGGAAAAAGTAAAAAAAAATGTCAAAAGCCATGCGCGCGCAAGGAGCGCGCAAGTTCGGCCCAAGGGATGCGCAAGGTTACAGTTTTGAAGGGTTTCATGCACTGATGTTGCCTAGCTTCATGAAAGGAGGGGATATATTCTTACAGTACTTGTGCTTTTCGAATGTTGCTTGGAGCACGCATATGGCACAAGCTTGTTTGCAAAGGTGCGGCGTTTTCTTCAGTTAAAGCTTCTGCGGTCATGACTGCAACTGACAGGACAGAATCCGCGCAAGCTGCGTGCAAGCCGCGCGCAAGTTGCGCGGAAGCGAAGCCCCAGCAAGACATCTAGCCATTTGCCGTCTCGGATGTCCTTTGCGGCCAGGTTCAATCAATGGATAGGCAGCAGCAACATGCACTTTCCTTCTTTCAGCCTGTGTCCAAGCCGTGGCCTGGTGTCCTAGAATGGCTGGGAGCGACCTCAGCGGAAAGAGCCTTTGTGGGTTGCTGTGTGAACGACAAACACAGTGATTAGAAAATGAAAAGCTTGCGCGCAATACACACAAAACTTTGCAAACCGAGGTCAACGAAATCTAGTTTCTGCGCCACTGCGCGCGCAAGTCCGCGCAAGTGCCGCGCAAGTGCGGCCCAAGGACCCGATCCCGGGCAAAGGAACATAGGACACCCCCCCCCCCCAAATTATATATATATATAGATATGTGTGTGTGTTTCAGTCTTCCTTGGCCACCCCCCCACCCCCCACCCCGAATGGTCATGCTCGTAGCAGAAGGTAGCACAGTGCGACAGCAACAACAAGTACTGGCGACGGGATCATATAAATGAATATATATATATATATATATTTAGATATATATATATATATACATGTATATTTAGAAGGGCCCTGATGTGGCGGATGGCCTGTGCATTTTTGGCTCATGAGGCCACACTGCCCGCTGCCTGGCAGCGGGTCCCAGGGCGTGAAAGTGGGCTTTCACCGGCAGGGCCCTTTGCTGCAGACGGAGGACTTCCTGGTGACGGAGCAAGGCGAAGCTTGCAGCGCCCGGCTGCCAAATATCCGCCCCTCAGATATTTTGGGTCTGCTATCAGGGGAGAGTGAAGCAAGAAAGGTTTGCCTCGGAATTGCACTTTATGATTTGTCTAAATAATTAGTGCCATGGTTGCGGATATTTTGGGGGTTCGGAGGTGGATTTGAATGTGGGTCTTAATCTGAGTGGTGCGTGTGTGTGTTGAGAGTACCTCTTTGGGTTGGTGTAAAGGGAAACCAAAGGACACCGACATTTCGGGGATCCAAATCCCTATTTTGACACATGTCCACATGTCCAACCTAAAATCATCACTCTTACGGAAAGCTGTAAGGGAAACTCACCTATTGGCCAACAATATGTTACAAATGTTTGCTTTGAGTTTGTGTTTATCAGCCCCAAAGTCTCAAGGCCTTTGAGTGAGTTTTTTGCTTAGGGCCCCCAACCGTAAAGGCCCCTTTAGCTCTTACATGGGTGTTGGGCGAGGGGTCTTTGGCGCTTCAGGAAAGGAGCTGAGAGCTCAGCAAGAGTTCGACTGGGATGGGTTTTCTTTGGATGCAATCCAGCAGTTCCTGAAATCTCGGTTGCCCGGGCTGGATGCAGATCATCCGGTGGGCTTTATGCGATGTCTTTATCAGCTGACGCCTGACTTGCAGATGATTCTTGGACCTCATCCCCAAGATTCCTCAGTGGTCTTGGCCTGTGGCTTCTCTGGCTCCGGGTTTCAGTTCGCGCCGGCCATCGCGGATTTCTTGGCCGCTCTGGTCGCAGAGCGGAAATTGTCGGATCTGCAAGGCCGCATGCTCAGCAAGTTCGACCCCACGCGCTTTTGATGGATGGCTGTCGCTCACTTCGCTTTTGCCTGCGGCAGAAAACAAGGACACAAGAACGCGCGGGGCGCGTGGAGCATGGCATGTGGAGTATGTGTCTGGAAGAAAAGTCTGTCAGTTTCAAGTCCCAGCTCATTCCAGCAGCGTCAAGTCAGCATATGCAGGCTTGAAAGAAGCACACGTGCTTGGGCAGCTCTTGGTATCGTCATATAGCACCACTTTGCAGAAACAATCAAGCAGCTCTTTTTGGAAAGCTTAGCACGGGCACGGGGCTACTTCAAAGGACAGTTGGTACATCCTTTGCTTGGGTATGGGTCAAAAAAAAAAACACCAGGTGACAGCAGATGTTAGTCCATTTTTCCATTGACCATACCTATTTGGACCCACAGCCACTTCTAATGGTCAATCGGTGAACTTTCTGATTTCTATTTGGCGCTTGTGCCATTGCAAACCAACCCTTTCATCGCCCGTGTGAATGGAAGCGCACGGGTTAGCTGTGCAACGCGTTTCGGACAGCTTTGAACATGTTTGCCAGCCCGCCTTTGCGGCTGTCTCGTTTGGAGTTGTTGCCCGGTTGAAACTTTCGAGACGACGAAACGGCAGATCCTGTGGCGGTTTCTGACTGTGCCCCTCCGTGCCAGGGCCTCAGGCCACTTGAGGTCCAGCTGTTGATTGTGACCGTGACATCCAGTTGTGTCCAGGCTCAACTATTTGACATTCCACACTCCACCACATGGATATCTTCGTGGAGTTGGAATGTTTGAGAAAACCTCCATGACATGTGATTGTCTGAAGCCCCATGTTTCGGTCAAACAGCAAAAGCTGGTCTTCGAAGTTTGAGAGATCCAAGAATATCCAGCCATTTTCTAGATGTGTGTTGTTGTTGGTACCCTTTTCAAGACGCATTGATTGGGAAACCGAAAAGAAACCAATACGGTGTGGGTCCCCCCCTATTTTGACACATACCCATGTCGACGTGTCGCACTCTGCCAACTGTGGTTTGAAGCATTCATTTTGCTGAAGGGATTGCCATCGTTTGTGAACGAAGCCACACCCAGCCGAGATGTGTGCTTTTTGCTGAGCAGTTGGCCATAGAAACGTGCACAAACTTTTGTGGGGGCATGCGATGCGCTACAATTGTCGAAGCTCGTGGAAGCTTTGCGATGTTTTTGCTGATAGCGTCTTTTTTACAGGCAAATTGCATCTCATCAGGTCAAGAAAGCGGTCTCCGACTCTGGCGGTTTCCAGAGCGGTTTGGGTCGCTCTTGCCAAGGGCTCTCGGCGGATGGCTAAGGCGTCTCCTTGGTTGCGGGCTGTGATCTTTGGCGGATCCCTGCATCCTGATGTGTTGTATGCTACGCAGATGGTTGGCACGTTTGTTCGCAAGCGTCTGCGGCCTGGTGGCCAGCTTGAGTGGAGCGAGGTGGTCGGCCTTGGGTGTGGGCGTTTGATGAGCTTGGGCTCGTGTTGGATCTGCTGTCGCTGAGTGCTGGTCTCGCTCAGCATACGGTCCGGCATGCTTGGAGGGCTTGGTGCTTGCATGAGTTTGTGCGTGGCACGCGCCGCGATGTTGTTGTCGGGCGCGAGGCGTTGCGCCTGTTTGCGGACTTGGATGTCGACAGGACTCGTAAATGGGTGGGTACGTGTGCTGAGGCGCGCACCCGGGTAGATGAAGGTTAGTAAGGGACGATCCCAACCATAAATAGCTGCGGCCGCCTTCTTAATCCTGCACATGGTTCTGGGTAGACCATCTAGTACCAGGTGTTGATTGCGACTCGCCTGCGTCCTTGGATGACAGGGTTGTCGGTGTGGCCCGCGCGTGCATCCGGGGTTGCCAAGCGCTTGGCACTTGGGAGCACATAGGCAGCAGGCCCGCGGAGCTGGCGCCGCCGCCCCGGCAGACCAATGAGGTCACGGCCAGGTGGGGTTGGGCGGTGAAGTCAAAGCGGGTCGGCGCTGCCCAGGCGTGGTTGGTCGAGGTGCAGAAGCGCTTGCGGAGCGTGACGCGCCTGTGAGTGCTTTGGGCCGGCGCGTGAGCGTGCGCGTGTGCGTGTTCCGCATGCTGGCCTGGTGGTCCTTGTTTCGGGTGGTTCGGGTTCGGTTCGTCCGTCGGCTGGTGGTCGGTTGGTGGGTTGGCCTTTGGTTGATGTTTCTGTTTCGGGTTCCCTCGGCTTGCGTGGCTTGCCTCTGGGCTTCGGTACCTGTCAGTTTGGGTACGCTCGCCCACCTTGGGGTGGGCCAGTGCGGTGCCTCGTCGATTTGGCGGCGGCGGCACCTCTCAAAGTTCTTCTTCATCAGGTCAAGAAGGGTTTGTTTAGCCAGGGACTGAGGCAAGTCTTTGAAAGGGCATGAGGTGGACAGTTTCACACATGGCACGGACATCAGCAGGCCAATCTTACTGTTAATGTCTTGCCAGGCGCATGGAAAACGAGCAGCTACGTCACTGTGATGAACAGCCTCAGCATGATTTGTTTATGAACGGTGTGAAGTGGGGCAGAGTGAACCACCATTCATAGACTAACCAAGTGCCCCCGACACTTTCCACCTGTGGGTGCGACGATGATGGCCGCAACAACAGTGACAGCAGCAGCAACAGCAGAAGAAGAAACAGAAAGAACAACCCGACAGCAGGCGCGAAAACTAGCAGAACAAGAGGTCCCGAAAGCGAATCGCCTGAAAATGCTTCACTTGCGGAAGCTTGCAGAAGCAATGTTGAGACCGCCCGCAGGGGATCGTTGCTGGTATTCATGCAATTTGCAACAATTTACAAATCAGTGAGTAGTATGCAAACCAAGGCTCCCATGCAGCAGCATGGCAGACATTGACACCAGCCCATGGTTAAAATAGCGACCCGCTCTCGCCCTCAAGCGCTTTCATGGATCCTTAGATTTGACATTTGTCGCAGTGCGGGTTCAGGTGCACCCAGACTTCCTGATCTTGGGGGAGGTCTCGAGTCGAGTTGCTTTGAGTCGATTCCGTTCGCAAGGTGGGTGTGTCTTTTTGCAGGGTACCGTTTTAGTGGGTGGTTGTAAAGGGAATCCAGAAACTAAGTATTGTTGGGTCCCCTATTTTAAGACACGCCCAGATTGCTTTTTGTGTTTGCGGGTGATGCGTTGTGTGTTTTCTTTTTTAAGGTTTTCGGGCTTGAACACGAGACCGGGCCCGCCATAGCAAGATGGAGTCAAAGTGCCCGTGTTTTTTGGACAGGCTTTGCAGCAGTCGAGGTCGAAGGATATTGATGTTGTATATAAGAGCACATGTGCGAAAGCGTCTTTGTAGGTTGTGACCGCATCACAAGCTGTCGCATATCAAATATCTTCAGCTTGCGACACGACGGAAGAAACATATTGGCATTGGAACATACGGCACAACCGAAGGCAGGAGTATATCGCCTGTGTCCTCTTCAATGGCCTGTCATTGATAGATATGGATGGACTCCCCGCATGGAGCTTTTGGCGCATGACTGAGGCCAATGGAAGCTTTGCAAATGTGACTATGAATCGTCATCAGGAACCACCAAAGACAAGTGTGTGATGGTTCCAAACATCTCTCCTTCCCAGCAAAACTGCCCTTGAATTGTCTCAACATTGGGGACCCTCAAAATTGGTGGGTGTTCCTTCTGTTCCCTTTAAAACCACCTCCAAGAGGGCACTAGGGTACCAAAAAAGGCTAAAAGACGAGCCACCCATGTGATGCATCAATAAGGGGTGCTGAGATCCTTCTAAGCGTGATTCCCTTGAAAAGGACACGACCTCCCCAATTATACAAGGTTCGCACGGGCACCACCACAGCAGCCGCTTACCTGCGGTGCCTTGGCTGTGTGGGCCGGGCGCCTCAGAGGTCAGAAGCCAGGCCACGAAGCCAAGAATTGATTTGCTCAATTCGTTTTATTCAAATCCCACAGCTTGAAAGCTATGGGGCTATGGGGTCTCTGCACAGATAGGCTCGAGTGGTTTGGGGCAGCTTTGAGGGAGGGTTCCGGGTTTCCGCGGGTTCAGGAAATTGGGAACGGGTCATCTCTAACCAACTCTACCCCGTATTCTTTGCTCAAGTTTCATGCCCGTGCCAGACTGCCGATTTACCATGAGCAACAATTACCGTTCGACATGTCTGTGAATATGCATATCTTGCTTATTCGTACATACATCATACTCATATATTTATATAACAGAACTGCCCGGAAAAAAAGAAAGAAAGAAAGAACAAGCATGTGCCTGTTCCCTCCTGATGGCCTGACAGGACAGCAAGGTGTTTCATGGCTCATGAATCGGTCGTGCAGGCCCCTTCTCCCCGTGGATCCATCCCCTGGCCAGTGACAAGGAGAGGGCTTGTCGGTTGTGAAAGCGAGGACGTGGATCAACAAATCGCCCACTGACAGATCTTATAGGACTCCGTTCCAAAATATTATTGGCGAATCATTCGGTTTTTCACCGTGGATTGTTTGAGTGTTCGTACTTGTTCGTTCCTGCACGCGAGAAAGCCAACTTTCCGGTAACCTGGCTATAGTAGGGAGACCCCTCCTCTCAAGAACTGGCAAGCTCGACTCGTGTGAGTATTGTCCCACTTCCTCAGTGTCTAAACTTCAAACTGTTTACTGTCGTGTCCAGATTCATAAACCCGTCCTAATAGTAAGAGGTGATGTCTGAGACTGACCAACCAGGCACTCCCCCGTATAAACCAATATCAACCAGGGCTTCTATTTAGATCCGTTGTCTCCAAATAGGGGTGACACCCAAAACGGATTTCAGTTTTCCTCTTGATCTCCGTTTAAATCAACCCCAAAAGGGTACCCATCAAAAGGAAACACCCAGATGTGATCCAGTCCGCTGCGTGCGGTTGGAAGATAAATGCCCGCTTGAACTTTGGTCTGAGACCAGGCCATGCCGTGCGGATTTGTATGCTATGCGTTGATGGAGAACCGCCGAAGGATGTCGACCATTCTTGTTACTTTCTCAGTTTTTCAACATATTGATTAAGGGCTCTTCATTTGGCGAAAACTCCTTTTGGTTCACCATCCGACTCAACCGGCCAGCAGTATAGTTAAATACATCTGAAGCTGGAAAATTGTTTGGCTTGTGTCAGAAGGCTTGACCCGATAGCGATATGCGGCATGATCCGGCATATAGCTTAGTGGTTTGTTTGACCACAAGGCAGTCAAAGGGTTGCCTTCCTAAAAGTGCAACCACACCCAAGAGATGTGTGAGCAAATAAGAGCCGTATGACTAGTTCCTTTATCTGCAAGCAAGCACATGGGTGTGTGTTTCTTAGGGGACCCCCAAAATGGATTTCGGTTTTCCTTTTGGTTTTCCTTCCACCTCCAAAAAGGGTACCGAGGCTGAAAAAAGACAGATACCCGCCATGTTCGTTCGGAGGGGTTCAGATGGGGCGCCAGGAGTCCTTCTACTTTGCGGGGCACTACTGGGGGCGTGGGCACCCAGAAAAGAGCGGTGGGACCTTGGTTTTGGGGTGTTTGTCGTTTTAGAGGGGTTGGTTTTGGAGGGGTTGGTTTTGGAGGGATTGGTTTTGGAGGGGTTGGTTTTGGCATGTGTTGGTGGGTTTAGTGGTTTCGTGGGGGAAGGGGGGGTTGGAGGGTTTGGGGGGGGTTCGGAGGAGTTTGCAGGAGTTTGAGAGAGTTTGGGAGCTTGTGGGGGTGAACCGAAAGGAAAGCTACCCTTTGTACACAACGGAAAGTCAGTACATTTCGGGCGCTGCTCAAGTGTCCAGCGCTTTGCGTGACGTGAGCTTTGGAGCTGTCAACAGATTGACATTCCCAATTGGATCACCATCAGTAGACCAAACTCAGCGTCGGCAACTCAGAATATGCACATCGCTCCCAGCAGCGAAGCTGGAGAGTATTCTTCGATCCGTGTAGTTGGTTGACGGCTGCAAAGATCCATGGCTGATTCGGCATTCTGGGAACAATTATTAACGTCTGACCCGCTGCTTTGTTGCGACTAGGATAAATCAGAACGTATCTGCACTAAAATCACAGTGAGCGCAGGTGGCAAAGCGATCTCATGAGAAATGTTCTTTGATTGGGGCTCCCTTGTTTCAGGTTGGCAAAACACTGAGGAAGTACGTTTGGGCACCGACCCCGAAGCACTGAGGCTGCAAGTATGGTGCTGTAATTACTTCGATGGAGTCCTGGTCCGTCCAATTGCTCTATTTCACGTTGGTGAATGTGAGATTTGGATTTCTTGCAACCCCGACGAAGAATCAAAGGGGGCACAAGGGACCTGAAAAGGAGCTGGATGCCCTTTGATTAGAATCCCATCCTGACTGAGAATGGTAGCGACGAGTGACTTGACTTGAGCCTGGCCGTAATGCAGTGATGACTAGTCCTGACCGATATTGATGAATGAACACTTGGACAAGAGACACAATGTGAATTCGCGCCGTTGGCTTCAGTCTGCAATGTTTAATTACAACAATACCGAAAACTAACTGAAGCACGACTTGTAAAGGAACAAGGGTCTGGTTTACACACCCGCAACCCTGGCAGAGACCTTTGGACAACAATGATGGCTCGCCATTTTCCTGTCCTGGTGTCACATTACCGTCCCAGGAGCATGTGCTAGGGTCTGTTTTAATCCCAAAATGACCACCGTACCTTCAGTTTGGTTGAAGATGGACTCCACCCCTGATCGCTTCGGTGCTTCTGCCAAAAGGAACCCTTGCGCCGCAAAACAATCCGAACTGAGGATGGTGCACCCGGGCGCATATCGCATGTGCTTCCCGCTGAAGATCACCATGTGGTGGTCGGTTTCTCGGATGCCGAATAGCATGGTAGTCGCTCCAGATTGGTTGCTCGGCCCACATTTGTTGGTTTGCATTTGAAGGGAAAGCAAAAGGAAGTCGCCCATCCTCGGAACCCGATGAGGCTATGGGAGTGGCGTCCCTTGAACCACCGGAGAGTTTGGCTTCCAAATGTCCAGAAGGCATACGTCAAAACTGGGCCCCTTTTTGTTGGATGCTTTGAAGTGGAAAAACTCGATCGGATCCCTAGTTTGGATTCGCCAAGAAACATGCAGCTTGTTTTCGGTTCCGACCAACGATGGTGACCCCGGCAAATTTCGAGGGAGAGAGCGGCGACGTATGATGGCCGAGCCAAATGTTTAGACACAACCACGAAGCCACCATGGGTGCAACATGCCATGGGATTGCATTGCAGGGTCGTAGCTTGCTATTGCGCAGGTCATGTTTTAGGTTCTTTCAGCTGAGAAAAAAACAGGGGCCCGACCGAATGGATGTGCCTATGTGTCTTGACTTCTCCCTGGCTTCCGAATGGCCGGCCTCAAAAAGAGCGAGCCATATGGAACTGGTTCCCCATTGGTGAGATGGAGATGGATCTCGACATGGCCAGAAGTTTTTTTTCAAGACAAGCATCGGCATGAGTGAGGGACTCGTGTAGTATGAGGCCGGTTCCTTTTCATTGAGGGTACAGTACCCCTTTTTGGTGGTTTCATCATGTTTAAAGGGATATCAAAAGGATATCAAAGGGCAAACCACCATGTTGGGGGCACCTTTACATCCTCAAACCCAGGCCACGTATGGCAGGCCAACTGATTTGCCCAAATGGCATCTTCACAAGCCCACCTTTGGATCTTTCTTGCCGAAACCTCGAATTTCTGGCACCTGACGAGCAGATCTATTGTTTTGTTCTGTCGCATACGCATCCAGGAAGAAGCTGTGGCGAAAGGAGCTGAGTCGCGAGTTGCCGCGTGTGAGTTTCCGTGGACTAGCGTTGAATGCGGTTTGGATTGCGCCTCGCCGCACAGGGCGAACCAAGTGTTGCAAACACGCGGAAGTTGATTGCCCCCATCATCAGGATGTTGAGACTGAAGCGCGCGAGCAAGGCACCTATCCAGATTTGTGAAGGGGGATATATTGCTTTGGTTCGTCAGCAATACTCTCAGATGCTATGAACCCAGCTAGGAGGGAAACAAAAACGCCTGCCTCTTCTTTATGCAGAGGCGATTCCCTCAGCTTATTCAAGTGTGCAAAACCGAGGTAAAGCGACACCGTTAACCAGGCGATAGCCAAACTTTTTGTTTGAACATAAGAGCCTTGCCAAGGGATCGCCTTTAGCTCATCGATCAACCATCACCTTTTGGAATGAGCAAGCTTTTTTTTATCAAAGATGGGACACCGACCCCCCCTCACCCCCCCAACCCCTCCCATCCCCCCCCCCCCATCGCCCCATCCTCCCCCCATCGCCCCACAGTTTTGCCATGCCCACCGCATTCTTTCCCCGCGCGCGTCAGGAGGTGCCTGTCTTCGACGGCTGCGCCTCTCACCTCTCAGCACCTTGGGCCCGGAAACTCAGCTTTGCACCCGATGTCAAGAGCTTGGCTCATGGGACAATTACTGCATTATGGCTGTGGCTCAAACATGCATACCTAAAACGGAACCCTGGCAAATGGAGCCAAGGACTAAAACCTGCGGTCCCCTGGCGGTTTGATTTGGACCCATGCCCATATACTTGGGCTGTGCAAAGGCAATCCTTGGGGCACCAAAGTCCCTTGGTGCTTGTCCGGTGCTTGTGTCGACCTTTTTTTGAGCAACACGATTGGCTCCCTTGGATTTGGACCAGAGGCGTGTTGAGTCAAATCCGAAGTTAGAGATGATTGATAGGCCCAAAACACGCAAGGGACGGCCATGGACAGCAGACAGCAAAGGATGCACATAGTGGTACGTATATACATATGTGTGTACAGTTCTTCCTACTCAAGAACTCTATTAGGCTTCCCGCATCATTTTGAGACATGCATATATTTGTTGTTTTACACATCAACAAAAAACTGAGACGGCGCAGAAGATTTACCCCTGGAATAGCTACTGTAGGATTTGGGCGTTGTGTTGCGCAACAGCACTAGCTATGGAGTTATGAGTTGCTCGAGATCTTCGACCCCTCATCTTACTCCAACTTTGGGCATGTTCCCTTTGGTGTCCTTTTGCTTTGTTTGGATTGTTCGCTCTTTTGGAGACACTTTTGGATGCCTTTGGAGATACTCCAACATCTATGTTGTCATCGGCCAATGTTTGGGCCAAACTGACGCTCAAACTGAAGCCAACCAGAAAGCGACATCAGGATCCTACCCCGCAGCACTCTTCTCAGAACCCTCCCAAGAACCCTTTCTAAGGCGCGTTAGGTTCCTGAGCCTTTCCCGGAGGGTTGCCTTTGCTTTCATTCAATCGGCCCAAGGCCCCGGCCTTAATTTGGAGTGCCTGCCCGCAGGACAGGGGCAAGCGATGCCGAAGTTAAGCCGCAAGAGCAGGGGTTGCAAAGGTTTTTGTGAGCCCTGTTTCACATCCTTGTGTTCAGGTGCTGTCCACCAGCACCACGCATTCGTCGGATTATTGGAGCGCCCCTCGCTCTAGATCGAAAGCACAGTGTGCACATGTGAGGTTGAAACTCTTCAAGCATTTGCGCACACCCAGACGTGAAAGCGGCATGAACTTCATGACTATTAGGAAGTGAGCAGTAAGTAGCTAAGGAGGAAGTCGGCAGGATTGTGGGACGCCGTGTGAAAAGGGAGTTAACGCCACAGAGTGTGTGTGGGTGTGGGTGTGCGTGTGCGTGTGATGTGCTTGTGCTTGTGCTTGTGCTTGTGCTTGTGCGTGTGCGTGTGCGTGTGCGCGTGCGCGTGCGCGTGCGCGTGCGCGCGCGCGTGCGTGCGTGCGTGCGTGCGTGCGTGCGTGTGTGTGTGTGTGGGTGTGTGGGGGTGTGTGGGTGTGTGGGTGTGTGTGTGTGTGTGTCTGTGTGTGTGTCTGTGTGTGTGTCTGTGTGTGTGTCTGTGTGTCTGTGTGTGTGTGTCTGTGTGTGTGTGTGTGTGTGTGTGTGTGTGTGTCTGTGTCTGTGTTATCTATGTGTGTGTCTGTGTGTGTGTGTCTGTGTGTGTGTGTCTGTGTAATAATAATATCTGTGTAATAATGTGTAATATGTGTGTCTGTGTCTATCTGTAATATCCTAATAATAATATCTGTTATCACAATATCTATCTGTCTGTATCTTAGGGTACTTGGACTGAATGACATATGTCTGTGTCTGTGTCTGTGTCTGTGTCTGTGTCTGTGTCTGTGTCTGTGTCTGTGTCTGTGTCTTGTATCTGTGTCTGTGTCTGTGTCTGTGTCTGTGTGTGTGTGTGTCTGTGTGTTTGTGTGTCTGTGTGTGTGTGTGTTTGTGTTTATGTGTGTATGTGTTTGTGTTTTTGTGTTTGTGTTTGTGTATGTGTGTTTGTGTCTGTGTGTGTGTGTCTGTGTGTGTGTGTGTGTCTGTGTGTGTGTGTCTGTGTGTGTGTGTGTGTGTGTGTGTGTGTGTGTGTGTGTGTCTGTGTGTGTGTCTCTGTGTCTGTGTGTGTGTGTGTGTGTGTGTGTGTCTGTGTCTGTGTGTGTGTGTCTGTGTGTGTGTCTGTGTGTGTGTGTCTGTGTGTGTGTGTGTCTGTGTGTGTGTCAATATTGACTCTGTGTGTGTCTGTGTGTGTGTGTGTGTATTAATGTCTGTGTGTGTCTGTGTGTGTCTGTGTGTGTCTGTGTGTGTGTGTCTGTGTGTGTGTCCTGTGTGTGTGTGTCTGTGTCTGTGTGTGTCTTGTGTGTGTGTCTGTGTGTCTTGTGTGTGTCTGTGTGTGTGTGTCTGTGTGTGTTGTGTGTGTGTGTGTGTGTGTGTGTGTGGGTGTGTGTGTGTGTGTGTGTGTGTGTGGGGGTGGGGTGGGTGGGTGGGTGGTGGGTAGGTGGGTGGGTGGGGTAGGGGTGGTGGGTAGGTAGATGGGTAGGTGCGGTAGGTAGGTAAGGGGGTGGTGTGTGTGGGTGGGTGGAAGTAAGGTGCGGTCGCGTGGGTGCGTGTGTGGGTATGCGTGTGCGCAAAGGTATATGTGCGTGCATACGTATGTGTATGTGTATGCGTGTGTACGGTTGGCTAATGTGTGCGTGTGTCGTGTGTGTGCGTGTGTGCGTGTGTGCGCGATGTCGTGTGCGTATCTGCGATTGTGCGTGTGCAGTGTGGCGTGTGTGCGTGTGTCGTATGTACGTGTCGTGTGCGCGTGTGCGCGTGTGCGCGCGTCGCGGCGATAATGCTGATATGGCATATCTGCGATGTGCGTGTGCGCGTGTCTTGACGTGTCTGCGTAATGCGCGTGTGCGCGTGTGCGCGTGTGCGTGTGACGTAGTGCGTGTGCGTGTGTGTGCGTGTGTGCGTGTGTGCAATGTGCGTGTGCGTGTGCGTGTGCGTGTGCGTGCGCGCATTGTGCGTGTGCGTGTGCGTGTGCGTGTGCGTGTGCGTGTGCGTGTGCGTGTGCGTGTGCGGTGCGTGTGCGGCGTGTGCGTGTGCGTGTGTGTGTGTGTGTGTGTGTGTGTGTGTGTGTGTGTGTGTGTGTGTGTGTGTGTGTGTGTGTGTGTGTGTGTGTGTGTGTGCGCGTGTGCGCGTGTGTGCGTGTGTGCGTGTGTGCGTGTGTGCGTGTGCGCGTGTGGGCGTGTGTGCGTGTGTGCGTGTGTGCGTGTGTGCGTGTGCGCGTGCGCGTGCGCGTGGGCGTGCGCGTGGGCGTGGGCGTGGGCGTGGGCGTGGGCGTGTGCGTGTGCGTGTGGGTGTGGGTGTGTGTGTGTGTGGGTGTGTGTGTGGGTGTGGGTGTGGGTGTGGGTGCGGGTGCGCGGGTGCGGGTGCGGGTGCGGGTGCGGGTGCGGGTGCGGGTGCCGGTGCGGGTGCGGGTGCGGGTGCGGGTGCGGGGGCGGATGCGGGCGTCCGTGCGTGCGTGCGTGCGGGCGGGCGGGCGGGCGGGCGGGCGGGCGTACGTGCGTGCGTGCGTGCGTGCGAGCGAGCGAGCGAGCGAGCGGGTTGGTGTGTGCCCCCACCCACACACACACACCAACCCACTCGCACGCACGCACCACACAAACACATATATATATATATAGTTGTTTTGCATCGGTGCATATGCAATTGTTGTCGACCATTCAGCTGTCCCGTGGCGGCAGCTGCGTTCTGCACAAGGTGGCATATGAGCCTGACAAGTCCAAGGACTTCGCTTGAGCCACAATCGAAACCCGGGTAGATCAAGGTTAGTAAGGGGCAGTCCCAGAAATAGTTGTGGCCGCCTTCTTAATTCTGTACAGGGCCATTTCAATACCGGGTTTTGATTGTGACTCACTTGTGCTCAAGCCCAATGTCAGTTAGTAGCCGGGAATGGCGATTCTGTGGCTAAGCAGACTTGTGTTTATGTTCCATTGGGAACGGCACTAACACTGAATGCAGAAAACAGTGAATGAACAGTAACGACTGCCACGACTACATGTATGAGCAATGTTCTTGCATAGTACCGAATTAATGGGTGTTGTGATTAACCAGGTCATGTCATTCTTCTTTGATCATTACATTTGGTTGTGTATCATGACTCATTGGCTGGCAAAACGCTAGTTGTCAAGGGTTCGCGCCTGTGCATGCAGTGATGGCAGCAACATGTTATGCCTGCAGTGCTCATAGTGCATTTAGCATTTGCAATGCAAAGTGTAGTGCTTGCCAAGCCATTGTAACACAGTGTGCTGTGATTTTGGGCAAGAACGTCAAGTGACATGTGTGTGTGTGTGTGTGCGCGTTTGTGTGAGTGGGTGGGTGGGTGTGTGGCTGTGTGTGTGTGGGTGTACGCTTGTCAATGTTTCCCAATCGAAGATTGGGATATCGGTTTGGGACCGTGGTAGCGGCTCCGGAGCTACATACAGCACATGATGTGCTGTCTATTGCTTGCTACATGTATGTCGCTGGGATATTTGACGGTAGGAAGCACATGCACACTGAACTGTGTTCTTCTGGAAGGCAACACTTTGATGCCATTTTTTTCCGAAGCATTTCAGTCTTGACGTGCAGGATTGCATGTGAAAGAACCGGGTGATACCTCTGGTTTTTGTAGCACTTGCACAGCATCAGCATCGGCAGCACCTGCCTTTTGTGGCGCAAGTTGCGGGGGCATGGAGCGGCACGTTGGATTCCAAATTGCTCAAGGTAAGTAGTGCCTGCAGTACTTGCAGTACACCTTTTCGAGTGTCGGAATGTGACGTACAGCAATGCAGCGACAAGCAATGCAACTCCGAGAGAACATAACACCACAAAGCAAGGGGACACGTTTGTTTGGCTTAGGAATTTTCTGCTGGGTACCAGAATTCAGAGCAACGCCCAGCATTGTACCTCAGGATTTGCAAGCATCATACCTCATGCCCCATTGCCCCGATCATGGCCTCAAAATGAGTTGAAGTTCAGTTTAGTTTCCCAAAAAGGGGTTCCATTCACCGAGTTCCAGCTTGCACCATTTGCAGCAATCAGGTAAGTACGGATCCTGGAACCCATTCTTTAGAACGCATGTAGGGTCACCCGACAGTTCAACAGTGCTTAGTTTCCAGCTCGCAACTTAAAAGCCAACTTAAAAGTCTGAAGCAAGATACCAATGTGACTGCCAGGCGGCGCAGCTCATTTTTGTGCGGCCTCCTGAGCAGCAACACAGGCAGGTTGCCCAGGTTGCAAAGAGTTCTAAACTTGGACGTGGTTGTCAGGGGACCCTAAGCGGGTTCAAATGGCCCGGGTCCAGCTTGCACCAAGGTTTAGGATTGTTCTGTCCCATAGCATCCAGCCGGGCCCAAGTCTTAATCGAACACACATTGTGTAGTGCTAAAAAGAACTTGGATTCAGTGTTGTTTTTTTTCAGAACTTGAAGACTCGGTGCTTTTCCCTGACTCGCTGGAGTAGATGTTCCTCCTCGGTTGGTTGCAAACCAATGGGTTTTTTGTTGGGGGTACCTGGCCGCTGGTTTCATGCCATCGGCTTTGGGATCCTGCGTTGGTTTCTCTCAAAATCGGTACCGATGCCTCATGATGCCTCCAGGTAATCTTTCGAAACCAAGGGACGAATTCCTCCAAGTGACCTTTGAGGGAACCTCGAAATTGGTTTCCTCTTGGTTTCCCTTTGAAACCCACCAAAAAGGGCCCCGATATTTCTATTTTTAGAACCCCCCCAACTCGGACTCTGTGACTCTGTGATTCTGCATTCGATATTTGTCAACAGGGGGAAGCGACGTGGTTGACCCGAAAGGCAGAGCAAGTTTATATTCCAAACCTGCATTTCTACTCGATCCCGAAAGCCAGAAGGCCTAGACTTCTCGACATGTTGGGACCAACCCTGTTTTGACTCTGTGGTCAATGTTAGGCTAGTTCGAAATAGGCGGGTTCCACCGATTCAGATGGGGTTTTACGGCGCATTCACCAAAGAAACCCACAGAGTTCTCCACCTTTGGACCGACTCCCCCGGGCCGAAAAGCCGGGAAGGTCCTGGTGGAGGCTGGAAACTGGCGCCATGGCCTGGGGCAGGAGACGGAGACGTGATCCCGGTGAATCCATTTGGAGGTCCCCAGTTTCTTCCCCCGAAGTTTGGGGAATGAGTTCGAAGTCTGATCCCTTCGGTCCTTAGCTTTCACCACGGAACTTGAGAGGACCATTGGAATCGCGTGGTTGTCCCCGCCCATCACCACCTCGGAGGCCGACGCTCTCGGTTTCGGAAAGGAAGCAGATTCACAGAGGGAAGCTGATCATCGGCAGGATTCGGCAGGTGTCTTTCAGACCAGAGCCAGACATGGTGCGCACGCGAACCTGCGAATATGCTTTGAACGAGGTCTTTGCGTGGAAGCTGAAGCTCATGAGCTGCAACCACAATGTCCATCAGACCAGCCAGCCCGGAGAACCCGAGGTCGGAAAGTGCATGCCGGCTGACTTCAGCCAGTCTCTACCCGTGGCAAAACAAGTTGGCCGAGCCTCGGGGCTGGTGGTGGACAAAGCTTCCCACAGGCACAGAGGCACGTGTCTCGACTGTACATTGAGTCATGGAGAGGGGCTCAAGGTAAGCATACGGTTGCCAATGGAAAGCCCCACTGTACCAAACTCTAGCAATGTCTGGAGCCCAAGTCTGGAGGCAGCGGAATTTGGATCTTCAACGCTGATAGATGTGGGTGCGGGGGCCTTCTTCTATCGGAGACATCTCCTGATCCAATCACATTGGGAGGGGTGCCCTAAAGGGCAATAGGACCAAAAGAGTCTCGCTCAAGTTTAGATTGGACCCGAGCTCTTGGAGAAAGAAAGAAAGCAAGAATCATGAGCACAATTAGTTGTGGCTGAGCCTGGTGTTGACTTCAGTGTCCCCCCAAAGCAACTGGCGGCGGGTAAGGCACGTTGGCAATGCCGTGAGAAGCCCGGGCAAATTACAGGGACCTCATAAAGGGTGTTGCTCCTTTCTTAGGGAGCTGTCATTTCAGGTCGATAAATTCCGATTCGCCACATAGTATGGCTATGGATTTTAATCTGGAGCCAACTCCACGGCTGGTGGACAGGAGTCCCCGCCTAAATGATCCACGAAAGGTGCCCCGACCAAAATGAACACCCATTGATTGCACAACGTGCGGCTGTGCAAACCAAAGCATGCAGTGCTCCAAGGGGCGCACAAACTGTCCATCCTTTTGGGCGGATGTTGGTGACATGCTGCACAGGCTCATACTAAGCCCCCCCCCGGCCCCGCTCCCAAAGTGACAAAGTAGGCACAGGAATGGCCCACGTTGGTATCACGGAAAGGCCTATGGGTCATTATGGGTGTGTCTGAAACCAAGAGGAAAACCACAACTTTGCGGAGTCCACGAAAAAGGACACGCCCATGTCCCACGACCATGGATACTTTTGATTAGCTGGGCACGTGTTCAGCTCCTCAGGAGCATGGGCATGGGCGAGGAGCGCGTCTCGCCGAGTGTCGCAGCTATCATCTCACTTGTGTCCCCCGCCCCCTTGGGATTTGAGTGCCCCGCATTGAATTTCTGAAAATCCATCAGAGAGAGGGCTTAAGTCGGGTTGGATAGGTTTTCATGGCTTTGCTTTGGAACTTGCGCTCAAGCAACATAAGCAAGCTGACCCCTACCTTGTCAAATGCCCTGAGAAACGACTTGCCCGCTTCTTGACGAATATGGAGCCTGTCTGGAAGTCACTGTCTTAAAAGGACCTTTTAGTGAGTCAGCTTGAACAGGTTTCCCAAGCAGGACGATGTTCTGTGACCTTGCTTTTGTGTTGCTTCTGTTTTCCCTTCTAAGAGTCGCCAGGTGTCTTTCAAGCCGTTGAGCAAGTTCAGATAAAGCGGAACGGGCAACTCTTACTCTCATATGTGTATGTGTGTTTCTTTTAGTGGGGACCTTTTGGTGGACATCATTTACATGGGGATTGATCTCAACCCGTCGAGGGTGTTTCAACAAGAAATGAGCCAGATCCTTCGCGGGCCGGGATCCGCGCAGGACTTCTTACTAGAAGACTACCCACCCAAGACCCTGCTTGAAGCTGCTGGGCGCTTGGGCACATTGGGCCAGGGCTAGTTCAGTAGGGGAAATTGGGGTGTTGGCACGCAACTCTTTTACGGTCGCTTTGGGAAAGATGTCCCTCCGTTGAGGACCTGAGCACCTGAGTACAAGACTGCCTTTTAATGAACGTCCCAAATTCCGACAACATTGCAGCGCGAACAACTTGTGCAATCATGAAGGTCGGGTTGGTGTCAAACTGGCAAAACCGGTTTTGGGCCCACCAAATTGGAAATGCATCCCTTGACCGATCTCCAGAACCTGAACAAGAAACAGCGGGTCACCAAAATCCGAAGTCAATTGGCAAATTGATGTACCGCCGGAATCTGACGTAAGATCAGAGGATTTGAACATCTCGCATCCATTCAAGACGTGTTTTAGCAGCTTATGCAACTCACCACGTCATTTAACTGTGCCCTATGCGTTTCTCTCCCAGGCAGATGCCGGAGGTTGGTACTTTCATCAGCAAGAGCAGTCTTGTGCAGCTGCTCCGAAATCTTTAGATGTGGCACAACAAGTGCGAGCAATCATAGGTAAGATCCACAGCAATTTGTTCAACCTGTAAACTCTCTAAGGTGCGGAGAATGTATGCGAGGTAGGTTGGGGTAGGCAGGCAGTTCCTGTGAAGCATGTCTGGTGTGGGCGATTTGGCCCGAGCCTTGGCAGTGGCTTAGATGTGAGTGACCCTTTGGCCAGGGTCGGTGGATTTCTCATGGGTTCCCATGGCAGATGCGACGCGTGGGACCGGGTTGATGCATCGAGGTTCAGAGCTCCCGCAGTGAGCGCGCCAGAGCCTCAGCATGGGCTTGAGACGTGGCCGTTCATGGCACCGGGGGTCCCAAAAGCAAACTGATCTTCCGGGTCGCCCCTCCCACATGTGCCATGGCAACGTGAGAGGAAGGGGAATCCAAGCGTGGCTTGAGATACTGTGGATGGACAAAATGCAAGCTTCGCACCAATTGGTAGGTGGTTTATCCCACTGTTCATATTCGTTTGTCCCAAGTGGTGCGGGATTTCGTCCACAGTATCAAGGTCTCCAATTTCTGAGATCCTTTGTGTCCATGGCTATGCTGTACATGCAGAAGAATGCATGCGTCTGGCTTGCAACCTGACCACTCGCACACGGCTTTCTGCTGGTTTGAGAGGAGTCAGGGGCACCATACGCACCATGTTTGGAGCCCCGGCAAGTGCCAGTTGAATTTGGTACTTGATTGCATTGCTGTAAGCTTGTTCCCCTCAGTTTGTGCCTCACCCCCCCCCCCGAAAGGCCGCAGCGGGGGAGGCCGCGTTCAAACTCGAAGAATGTGCAGAACTGAAGCTGTGCTCGAGATCCCTGTGAAAGCTGCAGCCTAGAGCTTCTGGGACTGGTACTGTTCTATTCCGTTGGGGTTGACCGCAACAACAGTTTGATTTATCATGGTGCCGCTAGGAATTACCGGAGCAACATATGATCGTAATTGTCCTGTTGGCGGTACTTCAGGTTGGCAATTGCTTAGCGCCTGAGACTTCAGCGCAGCAATTACTTAGCCCCTTGTTGTGTATTGATTACTCTGTGTTTCGGACTTTCCGGCCTTTGGCCGAATCCGCACGAGGTTCAGGCACTATACCAGAGAGGCGAGGAGGCGGCGCAGAAGGCTCGCAATGGGACTGGCTCTGTGCACGGCCTCCGAAGTCTTGGTGGATGTCTTGAATTGAGTCAAGGTTTCGTCAGCCAATTCAGTAGGTCAGGTTGTGGGATTGGGAGGTAGGAAAAGCGGGACATTCGAGAACTTAGCAAATTCGGCCCACTCTTCGGACAGCTGACCCAAACCAGGTGGGCTCGACTATTTGGATTAGATGGTGCGTATCCCCACCGATTGCAGATCATACGGCCGGGTCCAACCAGGGCCTCATGTTTGACCCCACTGGGAATATGTCAATCGGTTGGCATGCTGGTTATTCTTTTCACAGCCAACCCGGAAGCCCCTGCGGCAAATGGGAAAAATATGCAGGTCAAGGGCAAAAACTGAGGACGCTGTAGTTTGGTGAATTCTGACATTTGGACAGCGCCCCGCTCTCAATGCAACAGAGGCCAGCCGCCAGTTTTGAGCTGAGGGAGGTACTTTCGAGTCGGCCGGCCAGGTCTTGGAAAGTGGCACAGGCACGGGGCTCGCAAAGCTTTGCGGTCCTCGTCTTCGTTGGGTTTGCCCCAGCGATTTATTAGGAGGGGAAAGAAGACATAAGCCCCACAAACAAGTCGGCGTACACCTCTGAATTTCCTTTATGTTTGGGATTCCCAAAAACATTGACCCCGAAAAGGGCTCACTTTCTGGACAAAAGCTGGGATAGGTCTCCGGCAGGCGACTCCCGTTTTCGGTTTGTGCCTGGCCATGGTCCGCTTAATTTCGCACGGAGGTTCTCAGAAAAGGTGAGCCTTTTGGGTACAGGGAAGCCAGGAAGCCAAGCGTTCTTGAGACACCGACATGGCCCAAGGAGTGGGGATCCAGTAAAAAATGGACATGCACACGGGCATCTATGTGGAGGCACAAGACTTCACCTTTTTGTTGGCAGGGAGGGTCATCAACCTCGTGGGAATTTGAGGCCGTGATTTTCGGACTCTTGTTTAGAGAGATGCCCACACGGAGAGTTTGCCGATGGCGCGCATTCACTTCATGCTTCATGATTTTGACCATTTGAGCATATCAAAGCCAGACTACCACTTCTAACCGCTGCTAATAGGCAAGACGATGCCATTCGTCATGGTGGTTAACTTCTTAGGCGCCCCACTATTTGGACTTTCACACTCGTTTGGACACTCGGTTGGGTTCATCTCATCAATCTGCCAAAAGAGGCTATGTCTGCCTGGACCAAAGAGCAAGGTTTCAACTTTGGGGGAATACAAAGGCAAATAACAAGCTCAACCGCAATTTTCCGTGGTTTCGGCGCAGTCAGATGTAGTTCGTCAATGCACGCATGACTGTGTTGCTCCGTCGGTGGCTCCCTTTGCAGTGGCTCCCTTTGCAGTGGCTCCCTTTGCAGTGGCTCCCTTTGCACTGGCTCCCCTGCCACATGTCCCGCGTCAGCTGCTAGGTGACCAGTGCAGTGTTGGGCCATTGCAGTGTAGGCCCTTGGTCCAGAAGCAAGGTCAAGTGAATGATTCCTGTGTCTGTGTGCTCTCTTTGTCCCTTTGTCGCTCTATTGCGGTGTGTGTGTGTGTGTGGGCACGCTTGTGCTGCCTTTGCTTGAGATGTTGCCGTTTAGTTGGTTGATGTTGGTTGCGTGGTTGGTTGTTTCTTTGTTTTCTTGCAGCGTTTCTGTGGGTATTGCACTGTGATCTCCTAAACAGCAAGGAAGATGCATGCCCTACTTTTGGTCAAGGGACTTCTTGCGGCCATCCACAACACACCATGCAACATCCTACTGTACCTGTTCTTGACACAAGTTTTTAGCTCCTTTCCGGCAGCTGGCGACTCCTTTGCATCTGAGGCTTTTGTGCTGCCTTGAATTCCTATCGCTTGCCGGAAGAGCTTGGGCCTTGGTGACTGGACAGTCTGCATCGTTGGTTCCGAAGGCACGGACCCCGAGCCAAAGGAACCGAAACGGCAGGGAACTTTGCCCGGCTCGTTGGGTTTGGATGCTCGCAGAGGCTTAAACTGTGCGAGTATGTTTTGGCATGTTGCAAACAAGCCACGGTCTGAGCATGCATTGGTTGAGGATGGTTTCAGGCTCATGAATAGTCATTCAATGGTGACGTGGGATGGTGATATGAATCATCCCAGCTTCCAAATTATGTTCCCAACTAGTCGGTTCCCTCCGAAGCCAGATTCTCAGAACAGAACAGTTGCTCGTGAGCTTCGGATACTTTGATTCAAAAAAATGAGTTGTGTGCTCACAGAGATTTTTGCAGGGGTACGGCTGCGAGCAGTATTGTTCACTTTCACGTGTTCTGAGCACTTCAAACTGTTGTTTGCCATGCTTGTCAGAGCTTCGCTGATTTCACCAACCAAGTGGGCAACCACTTGCTCGAAAAAGGAGGTGTGCTTTCTTGTTCACTGGGGCTACATGTTGGTGTCCGCAAATGTGTTTGCCAAAACGAACAAGATCCAAGTCTGATGTGCATTTCATCTGGACCAGCAGGATAGCCTGAAGTGAGGGATGGCTTTCCCATTGGAAGCATGCCGTTGCCTTCATCGGGTGGCTATGTAAAAAACAACAACTGATTCTTGTTTTTTACTCTATAAGAACCCCAGTTTTTGAACAAATGCAAAAAGAGCAGGTGTCTATTTTAGACACACAACACATGTTTCCTCAAAGAAAAAGAGAGAGAGAGAGAGATAAACACCCTCGTCTATTAAAAAAAATATATAAAAAATAAATAAATAAAAAAAAATTTAAAAAAAAAAAAAAAAAAAAAAAAAAAAAAAAAAAAAAAAAAAAAAAAAAACTTTTTTTTCTAAGCCCGGCAATCCTTGCCAGCCTCAAGGTTGCTTCCGTTTCCTGGTGGCCAACTCATGGCCTTTGCCCGTGGGAGCCTGAGAACCTCCGCTGACAGGGCGAGCCTCGGCCGGGTTTTGGGGGTCCGTTTTTTTTAATGGTTGAACCCTCCCCCCCACAAAAGCAAGAAAGAGAAGTCGCGCCCCTCCCCCCCCCCCAAAACAAAAAAACAAGAAAGAAAGGAAAGCAACACAAAAACGAAGCAGGACATGTGTTTTTCCTTAGGGTGTACCTCCAAAACCAGCCAAACGAGGGGTCCCCGAAGAGCTGCGTGCTTTCTCCATGGAGTTTCGGGTTGAGGGACTGGGATTCCATACACGTATCCACGAGCGCGGGGCCAGTTTTTCAGGCATGGGCATGCAGAGAGGACAACAAGGGGGCCATGCTTCGAACGTGCTGCTGGGTAAATTTGGGATGGCATGCGTCTCCGGTTCATTTTTTCTGGTGCTGGTGTATGCTGCTCAGGCTCCCCGTTGTTTGCAAAAGGGGCTTCCCGTTGTTTGCCACATATCTTGAGGACCTTGTCTTTTCACAAAGTCTCCACAGGTTTCAAGCGTTAGCCTAAACCTACTGTTTGCGCTTGAGGAATCTTGTCCACATGCAAATCATTGGCACTAGCTGCGGTGCTTGACAAATTGTCAATATGACAATAGGTGTTATGCGGGCTCAGGTTTGGGGGTTAGGTCTAGGTGTAGGTTTGGGGTTATGGTTTAGAGTTCAGGTTTAGGGTTTAGTTTTGGGTCCGGGTTTAGGGTAGGGGGCTTTGGGTCGCTGGTGGGGTGCCGGCAAGCCAGGAGGGCTGGCTGGCCGAAAATTGACAAACAAAACGCTCTCAAAGTTTGCAAGGATTGAAAAGCAAGAACACAGAACAAGCCAATGTCAAAGCCTCAGCAAACGTGATACCGGGGACGTAATTGAACCAACCGTTCGTTTGGTTATGGAGAATCAGAGGAATATCGCTCCATTCATATGTGACTGCGCCTAGCCTCCCGCGCCCCAGAGCCCATCACCCACACGAGCCGAACTTCCACGCTTCCAATGGCTGAAAGAGAATCAACGGAACAAGTTAAAGACATGGAAGAACCTCGATGGGGGTGCAACAAACTTCCGGCAACACCCGAGATGAGAGGCACCATGTCTTTTGAGCCGAGAATCGCTCATGTAGAAACCCTGGGCGAGAGACTGAAAGCGCAACTGAGGCATGGGCAACTACGCAGAGAATGTACGAAGGTCGGCCCAGCGATTGACTGGACGGTTCTTTGAGCCGTGGACGCCGAAAGCCCGCTTTCGCGGCCGTAGGCAGAACATGGGTCCGCTAAACCAGGAAACCCATCCTGTTGGAGCTATCTTCGATTGAAGCGATGGTTAGTATTATTTGGGTCACGTTGTGGTATGTGTTTGAATGGCAAATGATTCATTGCTGGAGGTGGAAGGGGACTTACAGGGACATTGTTGAGTGAGGTGATCAGAGCTGGTCAAAACTACCCATGGTCGATGTCTAAATTGGGGGGGGCTCGAAACCAGATCGCGCGATCTTGGAAGCATAGCCTTGGCAGGTACCAGCGCTTTTTCCGGCAAAAGGTGGTCCTTGCCGAGACATCGGAGTTGACGCAGCCCGAAGCCGAGCCTTGGGTTCCCTGATTCCCTGGCCTTTTTGCTCCTGCCAATCGGGTTGAGAGAGAAGCAGCAAGCTGCCTCGACGAAATGCACCAAACTGAGAGGCAAATGCGTTGTGTTCAGATCAAAATTTGATGGTCGTTGTCTGGCGGAACCCGGGCAACTGGCGTTTAGCAGTGCAGGGCTCTTTGAGTTGTTTGTTTTTGTCAGACTTTCCTTGGCAATTAGAATTATGGTCACGGACTAACAGGTTGTTCCTTTGCAAATATTGTCTCAAAAGTGGAAGCGGCCTGGGAGTAGCCAGCCCGGAGAAGCAGGACAGTTCCTTCTGGATTCCTTGTTTCCTGTTTGGGAAGGGTAAGTTTAGATGTTGTGTGTTGGGATGAAAAAGACTTCGCAGTTGTGCGGGGGCTCCTTCTGGCTGTTTTGGAATCCTTCTCGCCGACCTTCGTGCCATGCTTGGCACGGCTGCCGTGAAGGGGCTTATCCTTGATTTGCGCTTGACATGTTTGATTTGTCGATTGATTCAGCCAACGTTTGGCGATCCGATTTCTATGGACATATGAGTAATTTGGACCTCTCCTGGTGTATCCATGCCCGCTAAAAGTTGGTCGTTTCTTTCTGCCAGAAGTGATCATGTTTGATGGCTGTGCTTGTTCATAAGGGATCATGTTGCTGTGTTTGCGAGTGCGTGTGGGCGTGCTTCTTGCAGAGTTGAGGGGTTGCCCTATTTGAAGGGCACCGCCCAACACTCAAAACGGTGGTTTACACCTATTGGTTTGGCTTCAACACAGAAAAAAAGGGGGACCTCCAACAAAGGCGAGCCGCTCTGGAGCTGCGCCCATGGACGCCGCAGGTCCAAAATTGGTGCTGTGGTGGGGCGACTGGCGAAGGTGGTGCCGAACCTTCCGCAGGCATGGCATGGTCTCAAAGGGGTTGCTCGCGCAAGCCATGGGCCCCCAAAAGGATCCCCAAGAAGTGTTGTTCTCTGATTCGGCAAGCTTTCTTGCAAAGATCAGCCGCTTGCGCAGTTCGAAGATCAACGCGTTGAGTTTAGAGCTCACGGGGCTTCTGTCCTGGGCAGGAACCTGTGGGTTGAAACGTGGGCCCACAGTATTCCCTGTGAAGCAAATTGGGAATGCGTTGAGACGCCTGCAGTTGCATCTCTTTGGGAGTCAACCACACCTGCAAATACGTGCAAGATCAGATTCGATCTTGCAAGGGTCCAAACCCCGGTCTGATAGTCCAATACCTTGTACATGTTGGCCCCTCACGCGTGCGTCAGTGTCCGCAGGAATTTCACGGGTGTGATTGATGAGCATTGTTTTTTTGAGATCCTTCAGCGAAATCTGGTTGATTGATTGGCTGGTGCGTTTGCATGTTGTGTGCAGAGCCCTTTTTGTTGGAAGCGTCTTTGTGCATGTGGGTAGACATGTGGGGAAGTTGTTGGGAAGGAACGATTAACCGATTCGCCTTGGCGCGCGAGGCGAAAGTCGCAGGGAACCCCAGGCTTCCGTGATTTTGCGTCGCAGCTGGGATGGGCGAAACCCGAAATGTGACTACTCGTTGATAAAAGCACCTGTTTTTTTTTTTGTTTTTCTCCGGAGTACCCCTTTTTGGTTGGCTTTAAAGGGACATCAAAAGATCACTTCCCTTTTGGGGGGGAATTCCTCTATTTTGAGACAAACCCAGAACTACCAACCAGTGCCGGTTTGTGTCCCTTTGCATTAACCTTGTGGAATCCCCTTTGGGCGATTTGTGTATCTCTTAGCCCGAGATGAGACTCGTTCTGGCGAGACATGGTCACTGGGGCACTGGGAAACACACGGCACGCCTTCCGCAGCCACTTGCCCGAGGCAAATTCGACGTGGCGACCTGACAAACGTGGTCTTTGCATAAGGCAAGCAGGACATATTATATGGGCCCTCTCACGAGACTTGGCAGTGGCTTGCCAGATGCTGAGGTTTTCTTTGGCGCCACATCAAACTGGCCGAGCTGAAAAACATAGGCATGCGCAATAAGGCTGTCTTGCCCGGCCCCTGGCCAAACATTGCCATACAGGCACCCACCCTCCCACCCACTCAGCCGCTCACCCACGCACGCACAGATACGCCCACACATATGCTGCAAGCGAAGAAACAATGGCCACCTCAACTCAGACGTACCCCCGTTCCCCGAGCGCTCAACATGTCCGGCGCATGAGATGAACGCCCCTGCGCGAAGTTCTGGCAGCTCGGTGGGCTGGGGAGACCTCAGTCTGTCGTGTGACTCGTTTAATCAACTGGGATCTAGGATGCTGCATGGTTATTGGTTATCCTGTGCTGGGCCCGGGTCAATGAATCTCGCAAGAGACCAAAACTGCCTGAGTTGGCACAGGTGCGGCGTAGAAATCCAGGTCAAAGGGCCTGGAGTTTAACCTGAGTTTGTGACGCCAATTTCTACTTGTTCTTTGTGAATTGTTTATATGAGTCAGCTTCAAAACTACCGTCATTTACTTTATGCAGGAGCGTTTCATGCACATGTAGTCTTTGTTCTTTGCTCGAAAAACGATACGGGACGTCCAAAACAACGATACCACAAAACCTGAGACAAAAACCCGAAAAAAACGATACGGGACGTCCCAACGTCGGAATGAATACACCCCAGACAAGTAATTTTGACGCTGTCTCATATCCCTGCTGTGGAGCCTTTGGATGGGCAAAGACACGGCTGTCAGACGTTGGCTTTTCTTTGCATGCGTATTCCTCAGTCGTGTGTGTCTGTGTATCTGAGAGAAGGATGTCCATGCCCATTGACCAAGCGCATCGAAGACACGCTTTTTTGTATGCTCCGTCGATGGACATCGGGGAACTAAGGTCAAGAATGGGCGATTGAAGCGGGCTCCAGTAGGTCTGCCTTTATACAAGGGACCCTGGCAATGGTGGTGTTCTTTGGGTTCCGAATGGTTCCCCCTTAAAACCCACCAAAAAGGGGTACCCTCACAAACAAACACACACTATGCAAAGCCCACACAAGGAGGGTGAGGGGTTAGTCATCATTCGCCCGCTGCTGTAGTCCACATTGTGCCCAAACTAAATTCCCGCAAAAAAAGATGCCTCTGAAGACAAGCTGTTGTTTTTTCCCCATAGGTTCATTCGCAGAAATGGTCAGCGTTGTCCGAGGCCCTCCATGAACTTGAACGTGAACTTGAAGAGCATCGGGCGGCGCTGGGGCAAGCCACAAAGTGCTCTGGATCTGTCAGGCAACTCGCTTGGGGGTGTTGGTCGCCGCGAATGACCTATTGTTGTTTTTGTGTTTAACAGGTTTAGCACTCCGTCCAAAAACCCAGCTGAGGTTGAATGTTTCTAGTTGGCCACTGCCTGTGCATTTTAAGCCCGAGTGCTAGCTTGCGATGGCGTTATTCGGTCAACTTGAGTTTTGAGGCATCATAATCACTGGAGAGAAGTTCAAGCGCTTGAAAGAGCCTGCGGTAAGTTGCAATCACAAGACTTGGAGCTCAACAGCTTTGACTTTGGGACATCAACTCTGATTAATCTGGATATATGGATATATTGTTCACATTTCGTTCAGTCAGATTTACAAGCACAAACATATGGTTGCAAAGAACTGCATCCAAGACCCTGCGCACCTACCAGTTCATGAGCACGGCCTGCCAAATGGAATCGCAGCCTTTTCCCGAAATGTTGCCCGTCCATCCCACCGAACACTGTTTTGGTTGTGTGGGTGGCTAGCGGTTTCCTGCAGTTGCAGTTTATATCTCTTCAGCCCATAAGTTCATGGACTGCATGAGAAAATGGAGGAACCCACACACTCTGGAACGTAATTTCAATGTGATGTCCAAGAAACATCACCTTCAATCCTCCCTGGCTTTCAGAGAATAGAAAAGCGACACTCCTGGAATTTGATCCCACTACGGATTACGGTGTACAGGGACCCCCGGTTTTTGAACAACCTATTTTGACTTGCGTTGCATTGTTACCGGGGTCATTATTTTGACCTGTTTCTGGGGGTTATCAAAGTCAGAAAATGTGGTTTCCCTTTAACCCACCAGGGATGGGGTGACTTTGAGACTTTGATCATGGTAAAAATAATGAGGCCAGTGTTCTCCTCTACACCTCCAGATCGGCCAGGCTCGGTGGTGGTGTGGCTTCGCCATGAGCTGCGGCTCAGGGACAACCCCCTGCTGCAGCGAGCGCTGGAGCTCTCGCCCAAGCCGGTGCTGGCCTACTGCCCCCTGGCGGAGTGTTTTCGGGTTTGAGGTTGGTTGGTTTCTGGTTGCTTTGGGTTGCTTTGGGTTGGGTTTTTGTATTTTGGTTGGTTCTGGTTGGGTTTGGGTTTGTGCGGGTGGTTGGTGGTTCGCGGTTGAGTTTGTTTTTCTGGCTGGTTTCTCGTGGTTGGTGTTTTTGGTTAGGTGTAGTTTTTTGGTTGACTTTGCTTTGTTTGGCTTGTTTGTTTTCGTTGTGGTTTTGGTCGTTGGGGGTGGTTGTTGGTTTTGGGTTTGGTGTGTTTTTGGTGGTTGGTGAATGTTGTTGGCAGGATTTTGTCCTTGCTTGGTTAAACGTCCCAGGAAGTGCAGAGGGATGTCGTCCAACGTCAAATGAAATTGGGATGGGTGTCCTCCTTAACGGTGGTTTTCAACTCTTGGTTTCCCTCCAAACCAAGAAAAAGGGGTACACAAGGGGCACCCTCCAAAATACAGGCAAGTTCCAGAGACGCGCTGAGGCTGGGACACGGAGTTTCATGCCAAAGTAACGCCCTTCGGCAGTCCGAAGGCGATGCCGGGAGCCCGTTCGGCGGTTTCGAGCCCAAGCCGGGAACCCACAAGAGGTCCCCAAAAAGCAGCTCCTACAAATCTGGGTGAATTAAAACGACCTCACGACCTTATCTCAGGTTGGTGAAATATTATGATTCACTCAGGCAAATAAGCCAGCATCAAAACCCGTGTAAGTGAAGGTTAGCAAGGGAAAGGCGCAGCCAGAATCGGAGTGACTCAAATGGCTTTTAAGTTCCATGTAGCTAGTGGCAATGGGCAAGCAAGACGTATGGCCAACTCTTGGAAGCAACAGTGTGGTTGAGCTGTTTTATCAGGGGGGCGTCCATTGTGTGATTGTGTTCGCTGGTCCTGTGATCCAGAGTCTGTGACCTGTTGGGTTTCGATTCTGTTCAGCGTACGGATCTGCTTGGCCTTTGGAAACTTGCCCATGTCCCGAGACATTAGCCGATAAAACTTTGACCACAGCTCAGCTCTTTTTTCGGGGCACTTTTTAGGGGAAGATGTTCAAAGTCTTCAATGAAGTGAGGAGATACTTCCCAGATGAACATTGAACTTCAAAATGGGGGCCCCCAAAATCAGACTCTTCTGACAACGATGCGGTTGGTTTCAATCTTAGTATGCTCGCTGAAAACTACGTCTCCCCACTTCACCCACTTCAGCGACAGTAGTTGGGGCCGTTCAACCGCATGGCTTCGTCAGTAATCCAATTCTGGTTTAGGCTGTGAGCTTTTGAACGAGCCAGTTAGCAAGCATTTCAGATTGATCACAAGGAAAGGTCAGGGGCGTTTTGCCATTGAAGTTTTGGGCCCCGTTTGGTGGACATGGACATAGTTCACATGGAGCTTCCTGTCCAACATTTGTTTGTTTTGCTTAGACCTTGCCCTTGGCTCACGGCTGGTCGATGGGTGGATCGGCTGGTCGGCCGGTCGGTTGGTTAGCCGGTCACTTGGTCTTGGTTGGCTGGGTCAGGTGGTTGGGCTGGAAAGTTGGCCGGCTGACAGGCAGATTTAGAGCTAGTTCATGGTGCGCACTTGTGCAGAAGATTTCGTGTCTGTTTTGTGGCTCGTTGGTGAGGGTTGGTCTTGAGCGTGGTTGGGCTGTCTTTGAGAGTTGCCGGGCTGATTGGGTTGGTTCTGTGCTTCGAAAGCTTGCGACACACAAATCTTCGGGCCCTGGTGTGCAGTTGCGATGTCGCCGCGAATCCCGGTTGGGTCGGCTTGCGACAAACGTGGAGCAAATTTTGGAGCGCTCCAAACCGCCAAGCCAGCCTCAAGCGTGCCCATGAAGGTTCATAGTCACTCGGTGGAAAGCGGGGACCTCTCAAATGTACCTCCGGAGGCACGCTGGTCGTTGATGCAGCAGGATTTGTGGGTCCATATTCTGATGCCCTTGTGCAACAAATCCACCAGGGACTTCTGAAACATAGGTGTTGTGAATTCGAGCTGTTTGCGTGGGGGTGAATAAAGAAACGACTCCCTCTACTGGTACTGCACTAACAAGCACAGTTCTGTTGAGCAGAAAACTGCAGCGTACTTGCTTCAGGAGTGCAAGTGGCATTGTGTCTGAGCGAGAAAACGTGCAAGTAGCGTGTGTGTGTGTGTGTGTGTGTGTATATATATATATATATATATCTAGTCTAGTATAATAAATACTATAAGTATATGTAGCGAAAATATATAATATCATAGATACTATAAGTATATGTATACGTACACATGGCATATATATATACATATATATATATAATATCACATAACATACAATATAATCTAGAAGTAAACGCATTGTAACGCATGGCTTGACAATGGTATCTGAACTCGGCGGTTTTCCGACTTGGGCGCTCCGATCTCGCGCAGGCTGGCCCGCTGCGGCAGCGCTTCATCGAGGAGTGCCTGCTCGATCTGAAGCAGAACCTAGCCCCCCGCTGAAAGTCGGATGTGTTGGATATGATTTGTCGGGACGTCGGGTCAAAATGTGATTGGAGGGCTCTGTACAATATGTTTATATTTGTTAGGGCTCTGGAGGTGATGTGGCGTAGTTGCAAAACACTATAGAATATCTGAAATCTAAATGCAGTATAGTTGTTTGGTCCGGCGGTTGTAAGAAGTTTATTTGTTGCAATGTAATATTCTTTGTTGGAGATATACAGAGGAAATCCGGACTCGTGGCTGGTGACCCCGCAAAACTAGCAGGATCCGCCTCCCCCTTCTTTGGTAAGGCCTGGTGTGGAGGAAACCAGGGAAGGGTTTGAGCAGAAGCTTTGGATATGAAGGGTGTTCGGAGCCCTTGGCAGGTTTGAACCTTTCCTGAGGGGGGCGTTCACCTTTCCAAAGTTTGCCTGTTCAGAAGTCTAGGGACCCCTGTAACGCAATCGCGCAGCGGGTGCCCTTTGAATGTCGAACCACCTCCAACAATGGCAGTTTTGTTGAACCCGCCAGAGAGCTGCTACTTTTGAAGGGGAAATCCAGTGACGCCTGTACGATCCTGTATAGAGGTGTGCAATTGAATCGTGAAATGAAATATCCGAACTTCGAAGTTCAAAAGGTCTACCAGAAGCTGGTCGAGCGATCCGAGGAAAAGATCGGAGGCCGGCTTGTTGTCTTCGCGCAGTCGCCCCAGGAGAGGGCACTGCCGGGTCAGAAGGGGTCATGGATTCCTTTACCCAGTTCCTTTGTTGGAACGTCATCCTAATAAGAACCGTGAATTGGTCCGGGCTTGCCACGTAGCGACCTCAAAGGGCGTTAAGCTCCTTTCAAACAATCTAATATTCAGCCAGGCGTTCTCAATATGCGTGACTCCGTGTGCAGTCTTGAGACGGCTGTCCACATCTTCTGAAGCATGTTGCCACGTCGTAAGCTCGAGAGGCAGAAAACAAGGCACCAGGAAAGTATCATCAGCTTTGGAGTTTTGTGGACACGCCGTTCTGCTTATGTCCCAGGCATCACCGCGATGCTCGGGAATTGTTGTTGTGAATTGTTTGTTTTTGTTGCTTGTTTTTTTTTGGCATGGGACCGGGTTGAAGGCCAATTCGAGGACTCTCCCTGTCCAAGTCCTGCCATGCATTTGGATGTTTAAACCAAATTGTCGACTTCCCAAAAAAAACAGAGAGGAACCGAAATGTCCGGTTTTTCGAGAGCCCTACTCAGCGCCAACTTTACAGCTGTTGCATCCCCTAACATTAATTTATCATACAGCTTTTTCTTCAGCATGGTTTATGTGTCATGCACGGGACCGTCAAATGGATGTGTGTTATCGAGCTTTGGACATGCTTCCTATGTGTATTTTTTTCCTTTATGCACACTTTTTCTCTCCACACTTGTGACGTTCAGGGCGAGATTGGTCAACCAAAAGCGCTGAACAACCGCTGAAGTGTTGTTTATGCCGGGGCTCCAGGAACAATTTCGAGTTGCGGCAAAAGGAATCGGCGGACCTGCCCACCTTTCCCACCTTTTGGGTTTCCCTGCAGGTGATGTCTTGAAGGTTTCTACGGTCTGGATTTTTGATTAGCTAATTGCCTGTGGCTGATGGTATGCACTGGCAAGGGATGTACATCTCAAATGCAAGACTTGCCACGCGTGGATGCGAACCGGTTAAAACTGCTGGCTACAAATCAGGGAAATTAACCCCCGCCTCAACGTGGAGAAAAAAACACGGATGACACGTTGATTTCTGACTGATCTGCAGCTTATGGAAGACGGAGACTTTACATCATTTCGGTACTGTTGCAATTCCAAGTGCACGGATTTCATATTCAGGGGAAGACTTCAAAACGCTGGCTAACCGTCATTGGGCCAGGCTTTATGGCAAAAGGAGAGGTTATACTCCCAGCACCTGCATCGCAAAGCAACGACCCACGCTCCCTAGGAGGCGTTGCCGTTGTTGGTGGCAGAAGGCGCCACAGTGCTGGTGACGGGACTTCATTGCCCCGAGGACACGAGATTCTCTTTGCACCGGGTCGGCACACTGCTTCGCTCCTAGTCTTGTCGAAGTGTCTTGAGCCACCCATCTGATGTTTACAGGCAGGTTTGACCTTTACATCAATGATGGTGACACGAGTTGTTGTTTCAGATTCATATTTTGCAGACTCATGTTTGAAGTTTGGGAGTTGAATACTGGGAAGGCTTGGCCATGAGTTCACATGCTTCAATTCGGAATGAGGCCATATGAAACGACTTGCTTCTTCTTGCTTTTCTCAAAACACTAAAGTGGCTCCTAGGTTGGGCACCTATGTCAAAAAAACAATGGTGAGGCCCCCATTGATAATGCCAAGCCAGCAAGCAAGCAAGCACTGCAAGGACTGCAAGGATAGCAAGGATAGCAAGGATAGCAAGGCTAGCAAGGATAGCAAGGCTAGCAAGGATAGCAAGGATAGCAAGGATAGCAAGGATAGCAAGGATAGCAAGGATAGCAAGGATAGCAAGGACAGCAGAAGCTGGGAGAGAGCGCTTTCCAATGTCCAAAGCGACGTATTGAAGGGAACATTGTCACAAATCCCCCCTGGACGAACTATAGAGATGGACGGGCACGCAGACAAACTGACAAGACCCAAGCCATTTTGAGTCGGACAGACAACAGCTAGGCACGAACCCAGGCAGACAAGCACGCAGGCAGGCACGCCAGTAAGCCCAGAAGGGCAGAAGTAAGCAAGCAAGGGTGGAGGCAAGCAAGCAAGCAAGCAAGTGCAAGGAAAGAAGGGCAAGCGCAGGCCGCCTTTGGCAGTGCGCCTTCTCTCTTTCTGTTAGAGAGCAGGGCTATGGGTCCTCTGCTTCGGTTGCAGTTGCATTGATGAATTACTCATCTCTGCGCCTCATTGCGGGCTCTTGTTGAGTGTTTCAAACTGGTTGCTTTGGGTGGCAAGCGCTTTACACTGGCATCTGATATGTCTTCATATTGGGTACATGCTACTTGTATTGAGTCCCGCTTTCCTTACCCTTGGAGTTTCCGCCTTTTCTTGGCACTAAGCAAGACATAGAGGAGCATCAGATCAAAATCCACTTGCAAAGCATGCAAACATTTTGCAGGATCCCAACCCGCCTCCTTCCTCAAACCTAAGACCCCCTGCTGGCCGTATTCAAGCAGTATTCAAGCCAGCACAAGGACCACCTCACTTCCTGAGTTCCTGGACTTTCAACTTTTTGGGAAGACCATTCAGGTGGCAAACAACAAGTTTGGACTTTTTGTTGGCCCATCCACTCAGGAAGTGAGAGGAAGGGGGGGTGGCATCCAAAAAAATCCACGAGACGTTCTAGGAGCGCTTGGCGGAGCAAAAGGTGAGAGAGGCCTTGGCGTTGAAGGGTGTCAAGCTGGAGGTGTTTGACCCAGCAGGCCGGACATCTGGGAATGGGCATGGATACATTTGGGTCAAAAAACAAGCTGTAGCAAGCTCCAGCTGATTTATAGGTGGCTCACGCACTACAGGGTCAGCAGGCTTTGTTTTCCACCTGCTTGATATCAAAAGAGGGGCTCCGGGAATCGAACCATCGGGCTCCCCCCGGTGCATCTGCACCGCATACCGGGTTATTTACCGGCTTATCTACAAAATCTACCCCTGCTTTCCATTCAGCCGTGCCTCCACTTGACGTGGCCGATTCCACTCTTGCAGTGGATCTCACGGCCCTCAAAGGCTCATGCTTCTTCTGTTTGATCTCTACCTCCACACCATCCACCACCAGCCTTGTCAAAGTTGGCTTCTGCTGCTCAAGCCCCCACTCCTCTTGCAGTTTCCAACTCCTACCCCGCTGGTCACCGACGATGTCCACATCTTTCTGCGGGACCCGTACCGACAAGTGGTCCTCGATCACCAGGGCGGGCTCCGCCACTTTCAGCATCTTCATCACCCCACCAGCCAGTGCCTTCGTGGTCCACTTTACCACCATTGCTGCACCAACTGCCATGAGCATCACGCCCACCACGAAGAGCGTGTCCTGCATCCCACCGCTCTCCGTCTTGATGTCACTCTTCTCCTCCGTGCCCTCCGCCTGCACCAGAAGGCTAGCTCCTATGGCTGCCATCCTACCTCTCGCCTGATTGAAAGGGCAGCCCTCCGGGCAGTGGTACATCATCCTGGGATAGGTCCGGTTCATCTTCCCTGGACCTCTTCTCTGTGGGCGGTTCATTTTCCCTGCCCAATCTTCTCAGGTTCCCCGACCTGGCTTTCTCCCCGTCAGGCCCTCCCACTGTCGCCGGTTCATCTTCCCTGGCGATCTTACACCCTTTCTTGTTGGCCCAGTGGCTCTTCTTGGCCTCTTGGCTCTCCTTACACATTCCCAACTCAACCAAGAATCTACTGAATGCTTGTCCCAGCAACAACTTGGTGAGACCATCTGCAACTGACTGCGATCCCGGCATATGCTCCAAGACCCACTCACCTTCCTCCAACGCCCCCCTCAATGCCGATGCCCAGATCCTGAGGTGTCGGGTCGCCAGTTTCCAGCTCCATTTGAGGCCAGACTGATCGCCGCCATGTTATCCCCATACATCCGCTTGTGCTCCACCTTCTCGCCCGTGACCACCTCGGCGACACCAACGCCCGGCCAACTGTCAAAGCCTCACAGTAGCCAATCAGCTCTCTCCGCCGTGCTCTGGGCCACAAAAGGCTGGCGCACCGACTCCCAGCAAGTCGGAGCTCCTTCAACAAAGCCCACGATGCCCTGCACGCTCTTATCTTCGCCTCCCGAAGCGTAGGATATGTCCGCAAAGACCTCTACCATGTTGGTTTGCCTTTTCATGCCTAGGCCTTTTCTTGAAGCCCATCCTTCAACCGGCCCATAGCTCAGACCGCGCTCCGTCGTGCCCTTGACATACTTCAGCACGTCCTTGCCCAAGTTGACCACCTCTGTGCCCTTCTTGGTCCATCTCGACATTGCCGCTACTGCTACCGCAATGTCAAGTCTTGTCTTTGAGGCTAGCCACAGCAGCGCCCCCGTGATGGCCTGGGCTTCCTTGATCTCCTCCGAGCTACCATCCTTGCTGTTCTCATCCGGCAGCCTGTAGTTCAAGGTGTCCATGCTCTCCTGGATCCCCGACCAAGTCCTCCGCAAAGGCCTTTTGATTCACTAGGTAGCCCTCCTGTCTCTTGTACACTTCAAATCCGCAGAACCTCATAGGCACCTCTGCTGTAGCCCATTCCGCCGGAGACAACTTCCATTCTCCTTCCTCCATCCTTGCCCTGGCCGCTTCGATCACCCGATCTTGTCCGGCCAGCATCACATCATCGACGTATATGGACATCAACCCACGCACCACACCCAATTCCACCTCGACGATCCTCCATAGGTTCGGCTCCTCCGTCTCCTGAAACCGCATCTTCTTTCCGTCACCTTCCCACTCCATCTTTCGGATCTCGATGTCCCGGTGAACGCTCCAATCTCGTGGGCTGGTAGTTAGTCCATACACCGCCTTGTCGACGATCCACATCTCGTCTCTTTGGGCAATTGAACACCGACGGCACCATGACAATCGTCCTGCCATCATCTCTGCGTGGTGCGTTCAGAAAGGCCGTGCGGATTTCTGTGCACAGGAGGCTCCACCCCCTCTGACCTGCGGTTCGCAGCACCATCCTAATCTGTAGACCATCGGCTCCTCCTGCGTACAACCTTTCTGCATCCTTCCCAGCTGAATAGTTGCCGCACACCACGCCATGGACTTTTCGACGTCCATCCGGTGATTTCCTTGTGCACACGGCCTTTGCTGGAAGAACCTCGACGGGGCCTTGGATCTGGTCGATGTCCCTCTTCCTGATTGGCTTGACCGCCCTGCTTTCCTCCACCAGTGCAGTATACTCCTTCTTGGCCGCACCTCTCCATTCTTCCAATTCGCTCCTCACCTCGTTCATGGACAGCGTCTTCGACACGAGCCACTCTTCTTTTGCCTTTGCTGCGCTCTCTACCTGCATCCGATTCAGCGCCGCCTCTATGTAGTTTCTCCGTTGGAGTCCTTCCCGTAGTACTCCAAGCCACATCTCCTGATCTTTTTCTCCAGCATCCAAAGTTTCCAGCTCTTCCTTCACCCATTGCGTGGCATGCTGATGCCATTTTTCGAAGTGTTCTTGCTCCTCTACCTTCTCCCCCTCGATGACCATCGTCGACAGAGCTGTCTTTCTCTCAACCGTCTCCTTGGTCGCTCCGCTCTTGGCATCAGCAGATCTGGTCCAGCTCTTTCTTCAAGCAGTACTTCATCCCCCGGATCAATGATCACCTCCTCTGGCTCCCTGATTGCATTCGTAGTCGCAAAGAACCGTGCGTCCTCGCAACTGCGCACCCAGTAGCCTCCCGATGTAGCTGACATCTTCCAGCTTTTCTTCTTTACACAGGCAATCGTTCCCCACGGCAGCATCTCCTTCACCGGCAGCCCTACCGCGTGCAGTTGCCTTCGGAGACGTCGTTCCCCAGCATGTCTCAACGCCATAGGCCACGAGGTTGCTGGTTCTCCACCTGCCTTGAGCAACGTCCTGGTCGCCCTCTTGAGGACCCCGATCTCCGCTTCTACCCGGCCATTCTCCTTGAAAGCATCGCCGGGGACCGTGGTCTTCACGATGTTCCTGTCCGCCCAGCGCTTCACCTGTGCCATCAGCTCCCTGGCCCGATCTGTGCAATCTGTAGACCGGCAAACCCATTTCCCGAAGCCTTGCATAGATGCGCGCAATCGCCGGCAGGACATCCGACACCTTTCGCGAAGTGATCGGCTCCACAAACGTCAGGTTGGTGACCGCTACATCACCCTCTTTGCCCAGATGTCCTCCGCCTTAATCTCTCTCTCAGCCTCCTTTTCGGGTATCCTTTCTCCATCTTCCTTTTCTTACAGCATGTCGACCTCCATGTCATCGAGGTCTTCATGTTCTGACTCTTCTGGATGCTCTGCCAATAGAGACCGTCCTTCTCGATCCGTCGGATAGGTGTAGACCGCGGCCACAAAATACTTGGCCTGGCACCTCTGATCCTTTCCAGCCTCCAATCTTCCAGACAAGTCAACCGCAAGCGTATATGCCTGTGGATGTCGTATCCGACGGTGTGCTTTGCCTCTCCCTTGGCTTTCCACGCAAATTCGGATCTCGCCGGGCTGGTTGATGATCGCACGCAAGATGTCTTTTCCACTCTTCCATAGCCACTGGCCCGAATCTCCTCTTACCTGGCGTTGTTGGCGGTGTTGGTGTTGTTGGCGGTGTTGGCGTTGTTGGCGTTGTTGGCGTTGCTGGCGTTGTTGGCGTTGTTGGCGTTGTTGGTGTTGTTGGTGTTGTTGGTGTTGTTACTGTTGTTGGTGTTGTTCTTGTTGTTCTTGTTGTTCTTGATTTTGTTGCTGCTGGTGTTAGCTCTTGGCCCGAGCCCTCCCAGCGGTAGAGCTGGGACTGCGAACACTCGGGGAGTGACACAATGGATCGCTTTCGCTGGATTTCCACCCCGACAGCGGGGGAGGCATTCACAGGTGTGGTGCTTGCAAAGCACATCTATGAGGAGGGCATCACCGAATGCGAGATCTTGGGGACAGAACTCACGGTCATGGTTCACCTGATGCTGCAGACCGGCCACCGGTATACTCTGTATTTTTACATAGTGGGCGCAGATGGCTCGCTGAGCCACACACCGGAATCCGTGCTTGTACATCTGGCTGAGGCCACCCAACACAGCTTTGGTGAGGTCAAAGAGTTATGTGCAGGTATTGGTGGTATTGGCCTTGGCCTTGCAGCTGGAGGCGCAAAAGTGATTGCCGCAATGGACATCAACGCCCTGGCCATCCGGCACTTGCAGATGAATTTTTCATTTCCAGCCTTTTGCGGCAACATCACCAGCGACAAGGACCTTTGTACTCTGCATCTAGCCGGACATGTTGGTCCCACTTTGGAAGCCGCCGGTTTCCCCTGTCAACCTTTCAGTCAACAGGGTGATGGACGTGCTTTTGATGATGAGCGAGCCGCCGCTTTTTGGGGAGTATTGCGGTCTGCTTACCTGCATCAGGCTACCGGTTTGATCCTTGAGTGCGTGGTTGAGGCAGGATACAATCTTCGGCTGCAACAAGCACTCAGGGACTTTGCCAACATCATGGATATGCACTTCGTACAGGTGGTATTGGACCTCAAGGAACAGTGGCCTATGCGCCGGGCACGCTGGTGGGCACTGCTAGTGCCCAAGTGGTTGCCTACCCCTGCCCTTCGTTCCTGGCCAACCAACACAGGTTGCAAGTGCATTGCGGATGTTCTCCCCTCATGGCCTTGCTGGACAGCAGAGGAACTTTTCCCCCTGTTCTTCACCGCCGAAGAAATGGATTGGTATTTTGGTCCCCATGCTGGACAGGAACAACGAATCCTTCGCCCAGACAGCTGCTGCCCTACC